GAGGCTCACATTTGTACGAGACTCACCTTACTAAAGGCCCGGCTAGATCTTTTGTGGCTGAGTTGCGAGCCTACGAGCCGAGAAATGGGACATGTCCTGCGAAATGGGATAAGTAATAACTAGGTACCTCCTAGGTTAGGTAGGTAGGTAGGCTTCATGGGATCCCCTATGGATCCCCCAAAAAGAAGATCCAAGGGTCTGGTGGCGAAAAAAACGGCACCAGGCGAAACACCATCGGCCTACTGCAAAATCCCATCTCTCTGTCCCCAATTTTCGTTTCCTCCTATTGGCACCCGTCTAAGCTTATTGGCTACTCTTGTTACTTTTCTTCTACTCCCAACACTCCGTTCGATTTCCGTTGTCTACCTATCTGGGCCCATCCGCTGTGAACCCATCCACCCCCCGGGGGCTCGAAGCCGGGATACTCCTGCAACGCTTCTACTATCTGGTTCGTCGTCTGGTCTCCCCTGGTGAAGCCCTACAAGTACTCCCGTACTACCAACTTAGACTTCGCAGCCATGTCTAGGTAAGCTTGACAAGACTAACTTTTGGCCACCTGCATTGCCGCGAGTCGTCAACTTCCTTGTAATGTTTCTTGAAGTTGTCTCATGATGTTTTCCCTCATACCATACTGCATACTTGCCGAAGGAAAAGGTAAAGATTGTCGTTACATAATGACCGCTTTCTGCTTGATGCCCTAATGAACCAGGATTGTCAGAAGTCACGTCGGGCCACATGGGCATCCTAATTAGCCACATCGTCTAATATTATGTCGATATCCCGGGGACATTTATCTCCCTCCCTACTTATGTGCCTACCTGTATACCTACCTATGTGACATAACTTCCTCAGCCAGGACTAAGAGGATAACTACTTGTGCCCAACTCGTGACACGGACCCTTGGCCCTCTCGGTAATCCCATGCCATCGAAGCTCTTCAAGTTCTCTTCTAGACGTTAAGCACAGGCACGGGATACCAAAAAACCCATAGTCGCTCCCATTAGTAGTCGGAATTTTTTATTCAGGGAACCCAATTCCCTCTCTAGTACCCCATAGTTTTCCAGCTTACGAATCTATGGATTTGTATTTATATGCTATCCCTGCGTCCGATCTGTTTCCATCGTTGGATTGGACACTTGGGGAGGTAGATCCATCGAATTTCCCACAAGTATAATCATCCAATCGCTACTTGTGGTGCCACTAGAAAGGTACGCGAGACCTCTATCCCATACCGATCTGCTACCTTGTCAAGAACCGCCCGGATCTAGGTCACTCCCCGGTCGACTACCGTTCAGCCATTATTGATTTGCGCCACACCGCACAAGACTACCTATCACTTCTTTCCCTAACCTCATCAAGATCCTTGGACTTCAACCAATTTAGGGTTTGCCGGACGCCATATTACACCTTGTCTGTCAAGGCAGTATTAGAAGACTAAGTCTGCTCGAGTTGTTTACAGGTTCAAAGAAACCCTGCGAGCACTTGACGAGCCAGATCTCCCTCGCCAGCCGCCAAAATCATACCTCGGCCTCTGGTGAGACCCAATGGAAGATGTCCCACCGCCTTTGGCGGCAAACTACGAGTTTGCGACTGGAGAGGGTGTCGGTGCCCATCAAGGGCGCGCCCCGAATGATGGACGACCTCTATTATCGCACGGCCAAAGTCCCGCAAATGATCCTGCCTTTCAAGCCCAATATCAGCAACTCTACGGACCATCCCCCAATATGTTCTCAGGCCAACTCGACATGTCTCACCCCCAAGGACCTAGCCGTCAGGGACCCTACAACATGACTGCGATGACCAACGCACTTCCCCAGCCTGGGTACAGACCTGGCTATAATCCGGGACAGTTGCAGCAACGATTCAACACCGGTCCATCGTCCAATATGATCCAGCCCATGTCACAAGTAGCGCAGTTTTCTGGTCCTCCGAACATGGCACAGCTAGGAGGTCAGCCCTACTATGTTGCCCAACATCCGCAGATGGCACCGTACTACAATGCCCATCTATCGCCGTCGCAGCAACAACACCATACGTCCCAACAATCGAGCCTATCCCCGCGACATAGCTTAAGCTACTATCCGAACCCAGTTATGATGAATCAGCCTCAACATGCTCTTCCCGCCGGTTATTATTATCCTACATCGAACCAATTTGCGTCTCCACATCCTGGCCAGGTGGTACCAGGACAATATTTCTTAGCAGACGGCACGTCGAGTGATCCGCGGGGGCAGTCACCATTACGCGGGAGCGATCAAGCGGGCGGGATTGCAAATTTTGTTCGGGGAGATAGTACGATTGTCTAGCCTTAGATAAAGGGTGTTGTAGTCGCTAATGATATGGTTTCTTAGTGTCTCCAGAGGAGCGGCCCAACATCGTCCGAGGGCCTCCAAGGAAGCCTCGACAGAGCGGTAAGTGTTTTCGTTGCTGCTACTTGAAGATATTTACAACACTAAACATTGCTAGGTCATGCCATCTGGATAGGGAATCTACCTCCACAGACCGATTTAATGAGCCTAGTACATCACGTTTGTAAAGAAGCGATAGGGTTGGAGTCACTCTTCCTTATTTCGAAGAGCAATTGTGCTTTTGCCAATTTTAAAGATGAGCAGAGCTGTGCTGCAGCTCAGCAGAAGCTTCACGATTCGAAATTCCAGTCAGTACGACTAGTTAGCCGGCTACGAAAGAGTACAGTCGAAGGAGCTGGTGGGCAGACGGCTCCTACGGGACCAGCAGCAACTTCTCCAAGCGGAAAAAATACATCTACTGTTACTATAAAGAGCTTACAGGACAATCCTCCCGAACCTACAGCTTCAGTAACTGATACGCAACCAGAGCAGAGAAACGCGTCTAATAATGACGCCGGTGCACAAAGAGACAAGTTTTTTATACTTAAAAGTCTCACAGTGGAAGATTTGGAACTGAGTGTTCGGACCGGCTTGTGGGCAACTCAGTCCCATAATGAAGAAATATTAAATAACGCATTTAAAGTAAGTTTTATTCGCGATTATATTGGATTCGTTGTATCCTAATCTAATGAGGGTTACAAACAGGCAGTTGATAATGTTTACTTGGTGTTCTCTGCAAACAAATCAGGGGAATATTTCGGCTACGCCAGGATGACCTCGCCCATCAATGATGATCCAGCGGCCGCTATTGAGTTTGCGCCTAAGGCACAGACTACGAGCAACATAGATCTTCCTAAAGCCATTCCAACTGAAGCTACAGACACTTGCCCGAAAGGGCGAATTATCGACGACTCGGCTCGGGGAACGATATTTTGGGAGGTAGAACGAGAAGATGTGGACGAAAACGTCGACAGGGAAGATTCTGATGACTCGGCTAGTGCAAGGAGTGGCCAAGATGGCGAAGGGGGCCCTAGCAAGGCATGGGGGAAACCCTTCAAGCTTGAATGGCTATCGACTACGAGGTTACCGTTCTACCGAACACGCGGACTACGAAATCCCTGGAACTCTAACAGGGAGGTTAAAATCGCAAGAGACGGCACGGAGCTAGAGCCGACGGTTGGTAGAAGGTTGATTGGGTTGTTTAACCGTATTCAGAGCCCTGCATCTATACCCATGGGCGCACGACCGGGTATGCCGATGCTTGCAGGATATCCGCCGCCGACTATGCCTCCCCCTTACCGATGACGACAGTAAGTCCCATTGTGATGGGCGCGCGCCGCGAAATTTCAAAGAGGTGGCAAAAGGTCGAGCTAGTCTCGGCTAGCTATGCTGAGCGTAGCAAACGAAGCGGGAAAAAAAGAAAGAAGTGATGCTGGTGTACACCCACATCACGTTGTTGTAGTGTATATACACGTCTTGACGAAAAAGTGGCACCTCATGGTATTGTACTATAGATAGCGCCCCACAGCAAGCCGACGATTGCAGTGCTCTAATGTATGCTCTATAGTATTACGTATAATGAAGGAGAAACACGATGGAAACGCCATTTGCATAAGCATCGTCATTATCGAGCCATGTGTACGTGATTAGGGGGATTGCCAAGCACCTTGACCATATCTACCATATCTTTTTGGAACGCCGTTGAGCATTTTTAGTATGTATAGGTATGTATAGGTATGTTAGGTATTGATGTTCCGATGTTCCCCAGACCCTCATGGCCATCATTAGCCCGGAATAAATTATAAGGAGACACAACCCATCCCTGTTAGTTTATCGGATACATCAAGTACCTATATACACTATGTACCAGTGTATGTACATAGATGACATGTATGCCGTATAGTCCAAATGGGTTAAAATCTGCTAGGCGTCAACCAACGAGAGACGCCGGCGTCATGTTCGCTAAAAAGGAACCATGGTATTGCAAAATATGGATTGCAGAGCAACGTCATTGCAAGTAAACAAGCATTCTGCATGGATATCCAATCCCCATGTTCACGTGCTCACTGAACTAATTACCAATTCGGGCGTTCATGCGGGGGGGCGGCGGGGTAAGATCTACCTTCACTACGTAAGCTCGGTATGATATGGGTAAATTTGGCGATGGGGTTGCGATGGAGAATATCAGAAAGCCACAATAAAAAGTAACCTAGGCATTTGCTCGGGTTTGGATTCTGGCCGGAGGTGACGTCATGATTCGCACACGGGTGCCGGCCGGTCAAGATGGGACCCCTGCCAAGACTTTTAGCATATTTCTGATGATTAAGCACGCGCCGTACATATCATGAACAAAGGACGACCTATGTAGTTAGGGCTGAATCATCAAGTTTACCTCCACTTGGCATGTAGATCGCACCGCCACCCAGCCACCACAGCCATGTATTATGTATGTATGAGGTAAGGCACCTGATAATTGGAATGGCAAAGTGATAATCCGAACGAATTCCTAAATTGGATGGATGGATGGAAGGAGGGCTCCCAGCCACATGATTTCAAGCCACAGATAAGCCACAGACAGCTACGGAAAGCTTCCACCATTCGAGTTGCAAATAGAATTGGACCTAGTACCTAAGTACCTACCTATCACGCTTCGCTCACCTGTTAGTTGACAATTGTACCTAAATCAATTCAAAGACTATTCTAAGACGATGCATGGAATAGTCGTGATAATTCCAAGCGAATAATCAGAAGATTGATTTTTTTGTAAAATTTACTTTCATTCGTAGAATAATAGGATTGGACAATGAATCGACTGATAAATGTTGGGGCTGGCGTGACAAAAGCAACAAAGTCGTAAAGCCGCGAAACCCGTAGAAGTTTCCAGCCAATTCTCACAACTTCGCGCACCATCGTGAGACCTATCGTCTACTGTACCAACAACGAGAAGTAAGCATCATACATACATCGAACTACAATACGTAATTAATTGTTTGTAGAAACATCTGTGTTCTTCTAGATAGTTTTAGATGGATCCAAAAATGATTCCATCGCAATTCTATAGGCCTTTCGTGAAGATGGTAGAACATACTCATCTCATGACTTTTCAATTATTTAAGGAGCTGAAGACATCGTGAGACTTGCTTCTCTCGTTCCTCAGATCAGACACAAATCAGAACAACAATCATACGCAAACAAACAAGCCTTTTATGAAACCATTCACTCGCACTCTTACAAGAGTCAAGCCGCAAAGAATCATCAAGCCTAAATACCTTAAACCGATCAACACTACAATTTCACCTGTCAACAAGTTCCACACTACTACATCCAAAATGTCGATGTTTGGACCTCGATTCTACTCTTCCGCCGAGCCCAACTTCACCGGCCTCTTCCGACTAATTGACGACTTCGACCGCTACGCTGGACAGAACGAGAACGGCGCAGCTACTCAACAAGCCGGTCGTCAACATGCTCGTCACCTACCGACCTTCACTCCCAAGTTCGACCTGAAGGAGACCGAGAACAACTACGAGCTACACGGAGAACTGCCAGGCATCGAGAAAGACCAAGTCCACATTGAGTTCACCGACCAGCAGACCATTGTCGTCCGCGGCCGCGTCGAGCGCACTTACACTTCCGGCACTCCTCCCGCCGGTCTCCTCGAGAAGGGCCAGGACGAGTCCAAGGGCGCCATTGCCGACGCCCCTAAGGAGCAGCACCACGAGAAGGCACCAAAGCCCACGGTTGAAGATGCTCCCGAGGATGGTAACATTACCACCACCGTCGCCGAGACCAACAAGAACAAGGCGGCGGCCGAGCAGCCCAAGCAGCCCCAGCACCGATTCTGGGTCTCGGAGCGCAGCGTCGGCGAGTTCTCGCGAACCTTCCAGTTCCCGAGCCGCGTCGACACCGACAACGTCAGCGCCTCGCTCAACAACGGTATCCTGAGCGTCGTGGTCCCCAAGGCTAAGAAGCCCGAGGGACGCCGCGTCTTCATCAATTAGGCGAATTTGCCCGTCTGATCCGGTGCTTTCCTTGATATGTTACTACTGCTACTCTCTTCTTGCTACACGCTCCTTTCTTTAGTCGTTCATGAATACGGCATTACGACTTCACGTCTTCAGCACGGAGTTTTTGGACGGTATTGCACGGTGGAGGATCAGGTACAATGGATGAATGAAAATCGATTGGGCCGGTCTGGCGTCTGACGGTCATTCTTATGGAAAATAGGGGAGAAGTAGTTCGCGGAGGAATTGTGATTTTTTGGTCGTTTCTATCGAGCTAATGATAAGTTGTTTCTGCGGAGGAAGGTATCGTATTGTACTTGGGCTTATGGGTCATAATTCAGGGCAATATATCATTAATAAAAATTTTTTAAAAAAAAGGTTCTCTTATCTTAAGATGCTTAGTGAGACAGTAGATTTTTGATGACTTCGGAGTGGAGTGAATTATGAGTGATAGCACGGAGTGTAAGCACCTTATTGATGGATGGTTACACATTGTCCCGAGTTGACCCGTTGGGAGTAAGTTATACGTGAAGGAGTTCTAGAATAATGAAGTACTATACATTGGAAGTTATTCATGAGTTATGTCCTTACGTACTTCTTGCTCCTTCATAAGAGATGCCAATGATTTGGTATACATGTGAGGATTTTCAGAATAAACCCTCATCAATCTTAAGATTATTCACTTTGATACTTATAGGAGGATTAATATAAATATTACACCACGTGCGGGGATGACATGCATCAAGTGCTTTTCAGCTGAGGCCTTGGCTTGGACGAAAATGATGCATCGCTTATTCTCGTCTCCCAACAAAGCATCCCCCTCCGAGTACGTGTTCAAAAGTCCGCCGCTATTCTGCTTTGAGATATCATATCGTCTCATACTACCGAAACATCGGTTATGAGGCGTTGGGGTTTTCCTCGCGGGGCGTAAACGTGAACTATTCCCCGTACTTAGGTCTTAGGCATAAGTAATAAAACTCCGAGAAGACCCCTCGGAGAAATGAGACATGACTTCAACCTTCGATTCCACCATGCAGTCAGGCCCTTCCGATATGGAGCACTGCGCAGCTGACTCTTTGACGTTTGCCCATCCCTTTCGTCCCATGCCCAAGGACGTCGAGGAGGTGCGCTCTATTCTAGAACATAAAGTACCGCCGGAGCTTGCCATCCAGATAGTCTCGCTTGGGTACAACCCATGGCTTGTGAAACGGAAAGTCCACGAGCAGGAGTACTACGCCGACTACACGAAACCTAACGCGGAACACTGTGTTGCGGGCTTATATCTCACTACCGAGTGCATTCCCAACGATGGGCGCAGGGCCATTCCACAACGCATCATCTTCCAGACGAGCGCGGCGTACCAAGGATATATAGCTCACGACGGAAAGGATGGCTTTCTCAACAGCCACACGCGGTTCGACGCCAGCATTCTACGCCCCTTGTCTCCGAAACTAAAGGGGAAGGGCCAGGATATGCCTCTTGAAGACGTCCTCCTGGATACCTGGTGGGATCCTAGGTCTGCCGCGGACGTTCTGAGGGAGAAAGGGTGGGACTTTGCGGCGGCAGAGGACGGGCGTATCGAATGGCGAGTGTGCAACAATAGCGAGGCATGCAGCGAGTACCAAGACTACAAGGTTGAATGGAAAAGAGGCGTTCATATAGAGGTTGAGGATGATGGGCCGATAGGAAAAGGCGAAGGGTTTTTGGAGCTTTTGGAGCCGGGATTCATCGTCGTGCTTTGGGTTAGGACAGGGGTAAGTCGAATCTGGTGATAGGATATCGTTCCTGGGCTTGGTCGCTAACTTGAATCATACATAGCTAAGATGTTGGCGTAATAAAGTTCGAGCAGCGACTATTGAGATTGAGTATGAGCTGCCATAGAAGGGTTTATGGGTATAGTCTTATTTCAATACTCATTAGCGGAGTAATGTATACACTCCAGTTTCAGAATGCATGATAACGCGTTTTAACACATAGTTCGAATGGTGTTATAGAATGGGAGACAATGCCCGAACTAACTATGATACAGAGGATACTTCTTAACGTCAATGATGACAGCTTAGATTTCGATTTGCTTGGGGCATATATCAGTTCGGGGAAACTTACAGCTGGTTATAATCCGGCTAGACTTATTGCTGTCAAAGACATGACGATAATAATAGAAATTCACACTATCTATCTGATTAGAATCTGGTTTGTATGGTATACTAGAAGCTTACTAAAATTGGGCCTTTCCTAAGGAAAACTACCACTTATAAGAGTCTCTATACAACTAACTCATTATTTCTAGGTCGCTAATATTATATGTGACGCTATGTTAAGTAACACTTTAACCCCGGTTATTGAAAGAGTGTATAAGTTGAATGTATATCGGTATATGGCAATGCCATATACGGGCCTCATCGATTATAATACGAAGGTTCCAATATTGTCATACTTGCAGTTTAATACTGTACGATAGCTAGGTAATCTAGGACTGACTTGAAATTGTTAAGTCCTTCCTACGAAGCGTAGCTTAGGTTATCCTGAAGTAATCCCAACCATCTCCTCAGTACCGATGGCTGAACCGATCAAGAGCTGAATCTACTTTAATGTCCATTCTATGGCTTCCAGATAGCAGGGCCGGGCATGACGTATGAGTTAGCCTTGGGGCTGTTCCACTTGTCGAATTTGATACCGGAGTCGGCAGCCTTGTAGATACCAGGACTAAAGAAATAAGATTAGTGATTTTGGGTTCAAGTAGAAAGAGGATATAGCTTCAAGTACAACTTACATCTTGGCTAGGGGGCCAGGAGTTCCCTTTCCGTCGCTGGCAATCTTGAGCTGAGCGCACTCCATGTAGAACTGCGCGCGGTCCTTGAACGCCTCGTGAAGGCCGATGTGCTCGACACGGACGAGGTACTCGCCGGCGGGGATCTCCTTGGGGATCGTGAACTCGATACGGTCCTTCTGCCAAGTGCACCAGGAGCCGTCGTTGCCCGGGGTGCTGGGGTTGCAGAGACCGATCTCGTACACCTTGAACCAGTCACCCGAGCCGTCGTACGAAGCGACGCCCGACTCAGGAGCCTTCGACATGTAGACGAAACCCGGGCCGGGGTGCTCGATGAACTCGTTGTACGCGAGCTTGAACCCGATCTTGTCACCGGCGTTGACGGAGTAGGTCTGGGTGCTGCCGGCCGTGGCGCCCTTGTTGCACCTTAGGTCGGGAGAGTCGATAACCTCGTTGGGGAAAGACGGCATGTAGGTGTTGCTGTTCTTTCGGACGTAGGTGTAGTCCTGACCGACAGCCTTGTCATTTACGATAAGTTGAGAGAAAATGTAATGGCCTTCCGCCAAAGTGGCAGCCAGTAAGGCTGTAAACGCAGCCGACTTCATTGTTGAGGCTTATGGACGGATACTGGGGGTTCGATTGGTTAGGATCTTCACGTTCTACAGCTGGTTTGAGGCGATGCCTCTCACGTATTTATAGACGTCTAAGACCTGGGGAATGTAGCACTGCTTGATCTGCCATGGCCTCCTACCGCATGCTGTGGTCACCTATATTAGAACAGAGTCGTATTTCGGTTATCGCGCTTGCTTTGGACTTTAATAGAGGCTTTACTCGGCTAAGACAGCGGGCGGGTTTTTCTTACTAGATGCACCTATGAAATATCTTGCCGTAGATGAAAGTTGCCTTCTCCGTGCTGCCAAGATCTAGGGGGGCTGCAAGATACAGGGCACATTAACCGTCTTAGTATACTCATTCATGCCTGTTCATCAACCCCAGCCAATATCCCACCCAATGAGGCTGGAGGTCGTAGCCTAGCCGTAAATTTCAATTAGCTTTTTAAATCTCCTGACTTGTTTCCATTGGATGGCGACTTCTAAGATATACTCTTTCTTGTATTGGTATTTAGCTTGGCGCAGCTTGCTCATTGGGAGCCTTATATCAATTCTCGAATTAGCAAGGCCTCTTTCTGAGCGGCATTTGCTTCCATAGCCGAATACAGATACTACAATTTGGCCATGCACGGCTTTCCCAAGACTCTAGTAGAGAATTTGTAATTGGTAGTTCGGCAATATCTCGTTAAGTAGGCGACGGCAATTGACAACGCGAGAGCTCAGTAGTAGCAGCCCAATCATATTTGAACTGGCGAAGACTACCTAAGTACCTAAGGTAGTTAAAGCTGGACTCGTTGTATAACTTAGGTAGGTAGACATAGTAAACTCCATACTTTACCCAAGTAAAGTACCTACCTACCTAAGTAGTGCAACTAATACATTAGGTAGATAATCCCATAACAAGATTGCACATCTAAATAATAAGGTAATCTAACAAGTAAACAAAACCATGGGGATTCTTGAAGCTCTATACATTATACAGGAGGCCAGAGTAGTTCATAGAAAGCCTATATTGCGATAGGGCTACCCGGAGCGTACCTATATACGAGAATTGTTACTCTATATTCTCCGAGTCATCGTCAATTAGGGTGTCATCCTCATCCCTTAAATTAGATTGAAGTAATCCTGTGATAGAAATTCCGTTAACACTTAATTACAAGGCATCTGAAAATAGAGTAGGGGCGACGGAGGAAACATTATTGTGGAAAGCGTGGAACCATGCTACTTTACCTTGTCTTATTGAGTCCTGTAGGTCTTGGCTCTCTTTACTACCGTCAATGCCGAAGAGCTCCGCCATGTCTTCAAGTGACCGGCCTCTTGTTTCAACTGCAAGTGGTTAGAAGATGCGTTGGGTGTGTCATAATAGGGTCACGTACCAAGGGCATATCGCACGAAGAAGAACGCAACGATACATATAATCGCAAACAGTATATAAAGGCCATAACCTGTGGCGGTCTCGATAGGGGGTGACACCTGGGCTACCACAAAATTCGATATCCAAAGTGAGGCTGTACAAAGCGCATTTCCTTTAGCCTGGAAATGTTGATTAGTGAGGCCCCTAAGAAAACTTGTCTATATTAACTGAGATGGTGGCTCACGCGTAGGGAGATTGGAAAAATTTCAGCTGCGTAAGTCCACGAACCAGAGCTCCAGCTCATATTGAAGAATGCAAAGAACATGTAAGGAAATATTACAATAACATTGTTTGCCGGGCTGTGGGGGTAGTCTGCGGCATGCTGCTGTAGAACACAAATCCCAACAAGGGCGGAGATCATGCCTATCAAGCCGAATTGCAACCAAGTTTTTCGTCCAAAGCGGTCGAAATAGAAAATGGGTATCCAGGAGCTAAGGAACAGTACCACACCAATCCCTCCAGTCGCTAGATTGGCCATGGTAGGGTCTGTTATTCCACCCTTCTTGAAGAGCGAAGGTGCGTAATAAAAGATCCCATTAGTTCCTGTAGTTTGTTGGAACATTTGGATGCTGGTTCCTAATAGGGTGACTCTTAGGACTGGCCCTTTAAACATGTCTGACCAAGATGCCTGCGTAGTTATTTGCTCTTCGGACACGGTCTTCCGGATCTCGCTGATTTCGAGTTCTGCCGCTTCCGAACCATGTAGCCTCGAGAGAACTTCAAGAGCACATTCATATCTCTCTTCAGCCACAAGCCAACGAGGACTAGGAGGTACCCACGTCCAACATCCAATGGCAAGAATGATAGCAGGCACAACCTGAATAGCTAAAGGGATTCGCCACCAGTCGTCGGAGTTGAGGAAATAGAAGGCGTAGACGGTCCAGAACACGACCATTTCACCGAAACAGAGGATCATCAATTCGATCCCGACTATCCTCCCGCGGAGCTCTGCAGGGGATATCTCCGAAATATAGAGCGGAACACCCGCAGAATATGCGCCAACCCCTAGCCCGAGGATAAAACGGCCGATGCTCTAGCATAATGTTAGTTTTTTAGAATTTGGAATAATGCATTCGATATAACATATGAGCCTGAAGCATACAATCTGTGCGATGGTGTAGGATGCGGCCTGAAGTAGCGCGCCAATGATAAAGACGGTGCTCGCCAAGGAAATGGTCCTCTCACGACCGCAGGCATCTGCAAAAAAGCCAGTTGTCATAGCCCCAATGACACAGCCGATGTTATATATGCTAACAACGAAGCCCACACTCCAATCGCTTGCAGGTTGCATCAGCTTCAACCATCTCTCGTCGGCAATGATCATAGCCATGACCCCCTGGTCCCAGCCAAAGAGGAAGCCTCCGAGGGACACAAAGGCAGTGAGCGTGTACACATATCGGAGATCTGCCAGCCGTTTCCGACCCGGCGTTACATTGCCGGCCGGTCGAATTGGCGTCGTCTGTTTGACGAGATGAATCATCGTTCGGCACCGAGGATGTTGACTCGGAATCTAAGCTCCTCCACCGATGTGCCGTTAAAGAATGGCAAATAGATAAAACAGTCAAAGTCTAGATACAAATAACGTTCTCAGGGGCACTGGGGAATGTGGGGAGAATCGGGGATGAACAGGGATGTCTGCTTTAGTTCCACAGGCCATAACGGTCACATGAGATATGCCACAACCCCTGAGCTCAACCCCTGAACTCAACCGCCCAAGGTTAGACATCATATAAGTGATATGTTTAAAAGTTACGTATGATCAATCCCTCAAAGTACAAGGCAATACGAATAGTTGTTATTAGTATTAGTTATTATATACATGTTTAAGTGACCCATCAAGAGCAGTAGGAAAACAAAGAGGCAGCACTTATAAGCAACTAGAATATCGTACTCTTTCTTAGTGCCAAAGATAATATTCTTGTCCTGTATAAAGCGTTCTCATGCGGTTTGAAGAGAAATAACGTGAGTCTCAATATAGTATGTCTGAAGTTCTTGTATAAGACGAAGTCAAATTCTTAACCACTGTAAGAGCGGGAGAGGAACATAGTCTATCCAAGAGGTAGGTACCTACTTACACCAAGCGAACCCGCTCTTTAACCATGTAGGGCAGCAGCAACTCATTACACTCTCCTTCCGACTTGTCAATGATATAATCAAGTTGAAATGACATATGTCCAACTACCTCGTGTCCATCTGGATTCTTCTGCAGTAGTTTACATACCCAGGTACGAGTGGTAGGATAGTTTTCATCGTCTTTATCGTCTCCACGTATGCCGAGTACGAGGGCTTTGAATCTTCCGGCTTCGAGACTATCTTCCTGAGCTAGATGTTCACCGAGGTCTTCAATCAACTCGGCTTTTGTATACACAATGCGACCATCCTGGCTTTTCCAGATCGCATTATAGTCATTGTGCACGTCCGAAATATGGTTAACCTCGAGGATGACTTCAAAAGTCTCGGCTTCGACATGGATGGCTTGAGCGAGGTTGAAGTTGCGAATCGAAACGTGCTGTTGCTTGCATAAATCTCGTAGTGGCCAAGGCTTCTTCGTCTCATCTTCGACCCAAACCTCATTGCTCGAAGAAAGCTCATAGAGAATGTCATAGTCCCAATCAACGTGGCCTGACCAGCCAATCCAAGACCAGCTAGGGAAATTCATACCCCTGTGTCGTTTCCCTGTTGAGATTTTCCACGTCATCCCAATCATTAGGAGAGCGGGATAGTCTCTTATTATAATTTTATTTTCGTCTGTGACATATTCTCGAAGAAGAATTGGCACACCAAACAGGTGAAACACGGAATCCTCTTCCTCAGCCAGGTATTCAAGAATACCCGAAAGTCCGTTTAGATAGTCATGTTCATAGGTTAATTCCCTCCGCGAATACTCCGCTATGCTGCCGAAAATCTGATATGGACTATCTCTAATAGGATCTAGGGTGAAGAACTTATATGAATTTGGATCTTTCCGAGAGGAATACGATTCTCTAGCATTGTAATTTAGACATTGAAAAACCGCTTCTTGGTCCGTAAAGTACAAACGACGCCGAGATAGTACTTGTTCCTGGTAGGTCCACGCCCTGTTTCGCCAGGCACTAGCATCAATTAGGTCAGGAAGACCGTGAGGAATATCGACAATCGTCCAGTTAGAGGGGTTTCTCATTGGTGCGGCATTCTTTCGGGGCTTGGAAACTCCTGGCAGACCGTGATCAGGGTCTGAACCAGCGGCTGCCATAATTGTTAGGGAAGCTCCATTGTATATACGACCCATCCGCTGGATCTCTGCGTGCTTCTCGATCGACTGGCTTTGGTCAATACAATATCTGTCTACCCAGAGATATCGATACCCAAGCTTGTTCGTAACTTCAATCGCGTCTCGAATAGTGGCTGGAGAGTCTCGAAGACCTTTGGATGTATCGTGCTTCTGCTTGCCCCAAACATAACTGAGTGCGACGTAGTCGTACCATGACTCGACTCTCACAATTTTCAGCGTCTGGCAATCAACCAGTTTACTCGGCCAGCTTTCTTTGTGTTTTGGGGGTTCGCAGCGCTTCTGATGGCTAGATGATAAGGTACAAGCAGATAAGTGTTGCTTCAAAAGCTCATAATCAATGAACTCGCGAACGCTCGATAATCTAATCAATGTCCTACTCGGATCCCAACTGACTTCCAGAGGTACTAAGTTGGAACTTCCGTGATCCAGGTCAAGTTTCTCCATCTGATCCTCAAGGGCACACTGCACTGTCCTCGGCTTTAACATTAGGAAAATGGTACTGGTTGGCCGTGGTGCATGTCCGCCTGAAGGGACCATTCCGTGGCTTTCGGGATACATTAACAAGTCCAGACTATCATACTGGCGTGTATTAAGGGGAAGACTTCGATACACATGAGCGACAATATCACACAGGGGGCAAATTATCCATCCATCATAATATTTAGACGCACTTTCTATGATGTAGACGTGTACGGGAGCACCCGTACTGATCGCGTTTGTGACAAGTGCAACCATGTCTAATGAAGCACACTTCGTACATAAATCATGGAAATATCTTGGGAATACGGAGCCTATCCCACAAGATTGATCAGCAAAGCTCTTATGCACCTATCATGTAAATCGAAGTGATAGCGGGCTCAGTGACACCATATAAGCTTTTGATATATACTACATACCTTCTGAAGAGAAGCTGCTGGAGCTTCTGAAGCCGAACCGGTGCTCCATAGAGACGATGTCTTGTAGGTTGGCTTAAGTGCTTGTGTACGTATCTACTTAGGTAGGTAGGTTAGGGAGTCAGCAACATGGTTCTCATGAGGAACTACACTACATATAGCTACCTAATATACCTTGCCGTCGTGTATCAAGCTTCGCTGGATGCTGCCCGAACGGCCCAAAGTGGGTATATCTGTATAGGTAGGTAGGTACCTACCAGACAACCACTCGCGCAAAGCCACAATGTTTTACGAATTCTTATGTCCGTCCTTTTGGTGATGGTGTATTGTCCCAACCAGAATATTTGATTCATTAACTCATTTTTTGAATTCCTGGCTAATTACTAGAATAATCGAATACAGCTACTCAATGTACTATAGTGACAACATTCAGATAGAAGGCTTACATAGGTTAGGTACCCAAGGCAGATCTTTATCCGTTAAAGTCAGCCTCATTCTCTGTTAATGCCACCTAGATGTAACCCTCCATCAGATCTAACAAGCCAAATCAAATTTAGGCGTTGCGTTATCAATAGGGGTAAGAGCAAATGAAATATCTGTCTGTGCCGTGTTGGCGTCTACTAATGTGTACCAGAAGGCGGTGCGCTGTCCGAAAAGCGCACAGCCGACTTGCGAGTAATAGGTTTTCGCGTTCTCGACCGAAGCGATGGCGTCACGTTGCTGGGGGCCCGCTGCATTATGCACATGTTAGTATTTATATTTGATTGTGATTGATCAGTTGACAAGGCTGAAAGACATTGCGCCTTTGTCCTAGGAGGGAGGGGGGGCTTACAGCTCGGCCAGCCAGTTTCGGTGATAAGAACGGGTTTTCCTCTTGCGACACCCTCGGTCTGCTGGACGGCAGACCAGAAGTTGTCTGCAGCCTGCCCGATAGCGTTCGGCTTAGTAGTTTCGAAATAGGGGAACGAGTTATGTCCAAGGAAGTCAACAGATGAAATCACCCCGGCATTCTCAGGTAGAACCCAAGCCGTCCTAGAAATTCATGCCATAGGTCAGTAATAGCTATCGTCTCACTTCTAAACACTTGGGGAAATGGGAGGTTGATTCGCGATGCATAGGAGAAGAGAGGGGAACCAACCAGGTATCAACATGGCCGATCGGCTTGCCTTCTAAGGGGGTACCGCGCAGCCAATCTCGCATCCAGCCGATATACCCTTCTATCTCTGCGCCGGTAGCACCGACGCCGGCATTATTAGCTTTGCCCTCGGGACTGCTCCGGTATAAGTCCTCAGAGCCGACGCTAATGCCAATGATGCGGTCGGTGAAGGCCGTGCCTAGCCGATTAGCAGCGGCAATAAGGGCGTTTAGTTCATTCTCATAAACGCCACGGCCGGCACTAGCCCATAGGCCGGCAAGTATATGCGTATCGGTGTCGATGGCAGCTTGAAATGCCGAGATGGGATCCGCCGCCGTACCGCACTGGATCGACGTGTAAAGACGCGCTGCGGTAAACTTGCCTCCCGTGCCGGGCAAGCCCTTAGCACGTTCGAAGAAGCCCCTGAAGTCATTGTATCCCCGACACGACCCGTCGTTATTAGTTGCTCCGTAGTTGAAGCCCTGGTAGACTTGTGCGGCGGCAGTGGCGGCAAAGCCAAGGGAGACGAGATGCTGTCGGAGCTGCATACTGTTTTACCTTCGCTTCTCTTATGAAAATTATTTCGCTTTAATCTATACAAGATGTAGTATGGTGTAGTTAACTTATAAGGTGAAGATCTTAGGGTTGTAGATTTTTCATGTTGTAGAGAAAGGGGATCGCTGATATTTAAACTGGCGATATGTATAACATAAATAGATATTCTACATATACACGTAACACACTCGGAAATTCGATCGCCTCCGCACATTACTGTAATATCCCGAGTTTCTAAGTCAGATGAAAATGAAGTGTTCCTATTTGCAATCACGTTGTGGATGACGACGGATGAGGCTCGTATTTAAAGGGCCAAGAGATGCCCAGGCGAGCTAGAGTGCGCTGGAGGAGACGGTCAAAAACTTCCAATTGGGCGACATCGCGAATAGTTCCCGATGTAGCAATTGATTGACTGTCGTCAGTTGGTGAGCTGGACAGCTAGCATAGCCTAAGGGCTTTGTCACCGGCTTTCCCCCTTTATAAACGCCATGTAATGACCCCGACTTTGTTAGGATCATTCCCAATGAGAAAACGTCCAGCTAGCAGCGCATCTTAACTTGACACAGCTACGTGTTGTTCTCCTTAACACCGCCTATTTAACCGTGCGCGGTGACAGGAATAAGATACAAACATGTACGACCAAACCTCGTAGTATCCCAAGTCAAAGCCGAAGTCATGTACATAGCCGTAAAAGCGCGTGCTTCAATAACCCGATGTTCTACAGCAGCTACCTGCGAAACCCGATGAGGCACATTCATATGAGGTATGTAACGCATAGCTAAGAGATATATGTCCCGAGATACACTGCATAGATGCTGTTGCACCTAAATAAACCGAACAACTGTAGAAATATATGTATACAAAGAAACTATACCAAGCACAATGTATAGCACCACCAAACTAACATCCCATCCTCTAAAGTCTTAAGAATCCATACTCTCCCGCGGGCTCTCCAGCGGACTAACCGTCACCGGGCTTTCCGGCACCTCCGTATCACTATCCACCTCATACGCACCTATAGGCGAAACCATCTCATCACGCCCCAGCCCGCCCTCGTCAGCCGCGCTAGGCGCCGAGATGTAGCTAAGCCGGGGCAAATCATCTACCCCTTCGTCACTTCCGATCGGCGACACGGGCTCCGGGCCCACGGCACTAATAGGCCTTGCAGTCGAAGCCAAAGGGTTGTTTACGGCGCGATGCGAACTAGGCCCGTCGAGAACCCGGTTCATGATCGGTGATACGGGAACGTGGCTTAGCCGCGGGCTTTGCAGCGCCGCTGTGGCACTGGTGGGCGTGGTGCCTGTGCTCTCGAAGTCACGCGATGGTTTGAGCGGCGCCAGGGGGGCCGCGGGTCTAGTGCCCGGCGGAGGTGGCGGAGGGAACGGGAGCACAGGGGTGCGTGGCAGGCTTTTCTGCCGCCCGTCGCTAATTGCTCGGCTTTCTGAGCCGCCGCGGGTTCCAAGCCGACTGTCGCTGAGGCGCTTCATCAAGTCTGCGTCGATCGGATGCGAGCTTAGGGGGTTACCAGGTGGGCTAAGTGGCCAATTCGGCGTGGGGCTCTGGCGCGCTGCTGCGGACTTGTACCTCCTGATGCCTGGCACGAAGGAGGTGGTGGATATGGGTGTGGGCTTGGCGATGGAGAGAGGATGCTCTTGGATCATGGAAAGGGGTCGGAGAAAGCTTCTTCGGGTCGGCGGTCTTTCTGGTCTTACTGCTGCTGCGGCTGCTGTCTGCCTCGGTTCTTTTTCTGGAGATGGCAAGATATCGACCGAGCTATCTGTGCTCTTCACGGGAACCGATGGAGCGGTAGCAGCGTTCTTTTTGGCCCGACGCCGGCGGAATATTAGAGCGACGATTATGGCGGATATGATGATGAAGGCGACAGAGCCGACTACGATACCTATTATAGTACCCGCGGATGTCGAGGAATCAGACGATGAGTCGCCCTCGGACTCGATCGTGATTTGGGTTAAATTAGAAGTGTCGGGTGGGGGATCTGTTTCCGTTGTTGATGTGTCCGATGTCATGGTTAACTCTGGAGGAAAGGGGTATAGGATCCCGAATCCCCGTGATGCTTGGCATTCGATGTGTCTAAATGTTTCCTGGGGGTCGTCGACATCATCGAACCAATATGTGTAGCAGGATGGATGTGTGCTAGGGCTATAATTGGAATAGTCAGTACAATCAGTCCAGTAATATTGTTATGAAGTGGGAAAGATTGCTCGCTTCAAACTGACCAGCATAGTGTCTGTGGTCCGCATTCAGCTGTGTGGACGACTTTCCCATAGTCGACGCAGGCCGTATAGATCGTAGAGGCACAGTCATCAGCGCCCGGCAAGCAGCAACCGCGATATCCCTCTACATTAGTACACTCATATCCGAATTTACAAGCGACTTTTAATCATTTACGTTAGCGACCCTAATCATCTCTTGGTGCTCGGAGTGTAGATTCCAATCAAGGAGAGGGGAAACTCACTCGTACTGGCGGTGGTGAAACCACAAGTATCGATCCCTAACACGAAATCGGTCGTACTTGGAGCGCTCACGGCGGTGAGCGACGCTGGTTGTCCCCCAGGCCGTATCCCATAAGGACTGAGGGTCTGTGTTGGGATGCTGATTAGCGGCATGTCGGATTGCTAGATTTGATGGGAGTCATCATTAGACTCATCACTCATATCTAGTGAGTTGTTAGGAAATGAAGGAGTTCTAAGAATCAGAATATCCCTAAGAACGTGGGATACGGCTGGGACTCGATGAGAGGCAACTTCCTTTCGAGCAAGTCTCATTGTCCTCAAATCTAGGGGCGAATGTCCCCGATGTATCCTACCGCTATCTGCTCTTTGTGTTTGCTTTTACGAAACATCAAATCACTTCTCAAAGACACGTGTATGGAATAAAGAATCACGTTTATCATTAACAATGCCTGAGGTGGTACGTTTTCGATTCATCGATAGTCGAGAAATGCCTATAGAGCGCTACAACTACCCACCCCTTAGCGAACATAGATTTTATCTATATCGACGAAAATACGTCTAAACTACTTAACTCTTTCCCGGGCCACTGTATATATAATGTTAGAATCAATACCATAAATATATAAAATGCATAGGAAGGGTAGACTGATTTCTTTTTCGTCTCAAGACTTGAGAACATACCGAAAACATTGTGTTGGATTCGCATGAAGACCCGAGTCCTGCGTTATCCACCCAGGCTGGTTCCCAATAGAAGATTCCGTTGCCATTATTTACTCCGGCTACCACCGCTGCGACTTTCTTCATGAAGGTAGCTTGGCCGTCTGCTGAAAATGGTATGCTCTTAAGGTCGCTTGGGAACGAGTAAGCGGGAGACTTGCAAGAGGTAGGCCAGTTGGTCTCGGCCACAACAATCTCCTTATCCCATGTATTTGCCATGTGAGTAAGACTCGTCTTAAGGTTCGAAAGCGTTGCAGACGGGTTGCTATTTGGTTGGTTAGGAGCCATAACCCTACTGTTGTCCTATGTTACGGGATACCTACTAGAACGGATAATAGGAAACTCCCATCATGTCGAAGTCTGATGTCTTCAATGGCCCGGCCTTTAAGGTAGATTCGTACCAATTCTTCTGGGTGTTAGAATCCCACCCATTGTCGAGATGGATCATGATGCGTGGCTTAGGAGACAGCTTGCTGTCCTTGACTCCATATGCAGCCGAGTGTAGGAGCTGAGCAACGTTGTAGAAGTTCTTTGTGGAGCCCGTTGGGAACAGGAGACCTGCCGTGATCTCATTACCGATCGAGATGATGGTAGGTGATATGCCCGCTGCAGCAAATTTGTTCGACACATCTAACGTGTAGTTATACAATTTCCAAGCAAGATCGTCAATGTTCGTGGGCCATCCTGAAGGAATTGCTTGATGTCCTGGATCGGCCCATCTGCATTAAGGAGGATGTCAATAATTTGAGGTCTTATACTAGATTTGGAGTGGATGTTTTAGGGACTTAGCATCCTTACTGAGACTCGGCCCAATGAGTGCTCTACTTAACTCACGTATCACTATAATGAAAATCCACGTAAACGCCGAGTCCAGCGGCTTTTGCCCGCTTTGCTAATTTTAAATTGTAGTCTAAGTTGTAGACGCCATCGCTAGGATTGACCCAGACTCTCTGCCGTACGGTGTTGACTCCAGATTCCTTCAAGATCTTTTCTAGGGGCTGAGCGCTTCCACTTGTAGTGGTATAAGATATCCCAGCTTTCTCCTCAACTATAACTGAAGACCAGTCGACGCCTTTGTACTTGAGTGCAGCTTGCACCAAAGTGAGCGACGACAAAGCTAGGAAGAGGGAAACCAACATTCTGCTCATAAAATCGATAAAATATCGAGGGCAACTAAGACAACTATCTTCACAAACGATTATGCGTTTTTCATGGGAACAGCTCCCCTTAGCCCTTTTTAACAAGTGGCTTCAGTCAACTCAAAGTGATGTAGGCCCCTCCTAACGGGCGATTCAAGACGAAGACCCATAAGCAGGGTCCGGTGGAATCTAACCTAAATCAAGACTAATCCGAGATTGAGAAGCCGAATGCCTATACATAGGGCCGTTACTTTAGATGAAAGTGCCCTGTAAATGCTTACCAACTAATGGATGCAGAAAGACTTAAGCTGTTGAGTTATGTAATAGTGTCCCACCGAAGGGGGAAGGTCGTTAGAAGACATGCCAACCGAAACGTTCTATTTTGATTTTTTTCATCGGAATAGTATACCAATTTTCCGTCATGATGCTGATATGGTCTGTGAGAACGGATACATCCGCTATCCGTCGACTTTAACAAACTAAACTAACTAAACAAACTAATCGGAACTACTCTTTTCCGAGGTCAACTCAACACTCAACTGATTGGCTGGGTTCTAGCAATGGCTGTCATGTGATGGCAGAAGTATGTAAACAGTACAGAGATGCAGGTGCTAAATTTGAGGAAATATTCTAGAATAATAATTGCCAAGACATAGGTGATCGTACCTTACAGGTTGCTGCTGCCAAGAATTTAGATATTCTGAGTAAGAGGTAAGCCAATATAAATAAAACTTAAAGGTGAGACGACAATCCTATAAAGTCCAGACACTGAATGCTTGCCCGCGTCTTTGTTTGTAATATTTATGCACTTAGACTTGCTGTAGACGAAATGAATGTGGTATACGTGAGGATGTTAGATGAGTAACCTGGTGTTTCGATCCCTTCTCAGTTGAATATATATGCCCGAACCAGTTGGCGCAAAAACCACAATGACGATACTACTGAGTTACTATTTACTGTCGTACATAGTATCCGATTATTTGGTTGGTTTGTAAAAGTCGACGGATAGCGGATGCGTCCGTTCTCACAGACCATATCGGCCCCATGTGGAGATTCCAAAGTAGGCATTCATCTGCACTCTCAGTTGATCGCTGCGCCCTCGATTACTAGGTACCTGGTAATGTATTGATAACTGATCACTGACCATTGATCGCTATGATTGGCGTTGGGTTCTACTCGCGTATCGAACTTTCGGCGCTAAACCACTTGGGATCGATAAAGCACGGTGAGCTACAGGGTGGCTAGGTGGCTAGGTCCAAAAAGTTTAATCGGTCTGTCGGCGTTTGTACCGTTAACTAGTAATACATAATAGTACTTCTCTAAAGCGCACTAGCGTACTAGCCACGCCGAGACCCGGTAAAGCTCAAATACAGACAGCAAATTCTTGATGCGCTCAGCGGATCGGTTAACCAGGCAATTATGGAACCATCCAAGAGAGTTGCTAATTCCACTTAATTTCGGTTCTAAATCCCCTCAATTAGCAGGATAGCAACAGTAGTATCTAGCGCCGTCGGGCACAGAGCATTGAGAATAGCCGAGGGGAAAAGTCAACGACACGTTTCATATCTGTTCCAAGAGGTAGATTAAGAGACAAGCTATTGGTCACATATGGCCGCGATTGATTTGTGATATATTCCCTTCTATCGATGGTAAAAGCATGTGGCCTTGGCCCTCGAGGATGCGGCTTCCATCCACTTCATAGTAGAAACTAATAAGTCAAAGAAGAAAACCAATGCCAGCATGCCAAAGTCTTTCGCGTCAATGTGTTTACCCAGGAGATTATTAAGGATCAATCAAAATAGGATGTTAACGGTGGATTAACAACGGATGAGCCGAGTGGCAACCAAGCATCAATATGTACCCCTTGCTGGCGGATAATATCAAGCTACATAAGGCATTTAGGTCCTTGGGTTTCAATAATTCTCGGCTCAGCATTGACATTGGCATTGGCATTGACGTGGTTTTACCAAGCAAAGAAAAATGAGAGGCGGGAAAAAGTGGTGAGTGTAGTGAATGTACTAGGTTACGGATGTCTTTCATCGAGGCGTACAAATAAATACTTTTCTAAAGAAAATGGCAAAGTCTCGTAAAAGTTGAAATAGACTATTTGCTTACGGTTCTTATCTCACCTTCATTTGTACATGGGTTGGTTGTATGGCCATGGTAGGTTGTACCTGACTAAATACCTTCGGAGTAACCTCCATCCCAAAGCACCCCCTTAAGAGGTATGTACCTAAGGCGTACTTACTAATTGGAGATCCTGTCCAATCCCGTCTGCATAAACCCCGCATGCTGTACTCCAAATATTTTAACGCGGCGATACGAAGTAGACGCTGAAGAAGCTGCATTGCTGTTATGGACGCTTACCGCATAAGGATAGACTGATACTTTACTTTCTTCGTAATGGATCTGAACTAAACACAGCTTCGTACTCTAGATAGGAAATAAGATGGGGATTATAAAGTCAATTTCGGCAAGATGACGTGAATTATATATCATTCGTAATTCTTAATTGGCGACTGAGCCTGTCAGACAAATCTTCGCAGTTATGAAAAGTGATAACTAGCGAAAAGCAATGCCGATGAATTAAAGTGGGCTAACCGAATAGGGAAAGAGTTAGAAGGCTAGCAGACTGCTAATTGGCTTAATATATTTTTCAACCTTCCCTATCTAAGGTTAGGTACCTAGGCTTACCCGTAAAACTTGATTCTTGGCGTTCCAAATTTCTGGCCTGATATGGCACTAGCGAAGACACTAGGTACTCTCGGCAAGCGGCACCAATGCTGCAGCAACGCCGGTCAGTTCCAAAGGAAAATATCCTTGTAGGAATAATGAAAGCTGATTGGATAAATTAGGGTCTGTTATCGTGAGCTTCGTCGGTCAAATGCGTATTCTATTTGTCTCTATGGTCATTTTTTTTTTTCTTTCCGGCCGTCTAGACTTTTTTTTCCTTCATACATACCTACCCAGCTATCCGAAGAGGGACCTCATCAAACAAATACTAAACATCCTAACTCTACGGACAATACCTCCCTGTCCACCCCCCGGCCAATAAATTCAGGTACAACCCATACATCAACACACCATCTCCGTCTTATTACGTACCCCATCCCGGCTTGTATCGCACTTCATCCTACAACTCTCCAAATCTTCCTCCATCTTCTCCTTCAATCCATAGTCACATCATCTCTTCTTACCTATCCAATCCACGTTTCGCAAAAACTTTACTCTCGATAAGATATTTATTTATCTGCAGGTTTTGGCTCGAACAGCAGTCAATTCGGCATCTATCAGTTATACACGCCGTTCGATCGCAAACATGGTCAACACACGCGCTGCCGCCGTGGTGCTCTCCGCCCTTGCCCTCGTCTCTGCTCAAGCAAATTCAAACTCGACCTTTAAGATCGATCCTACTGAAGTCGACATCTCCGATCGCGGTAAGTTCTCGTTGAGTCGCGATGTTGGTGCCTGATACTGATCATTCTCCGAAGTCAACTGGTGTCAAGGGCAGCAAGACAGTTGCAGCACGATTTGCGGATCAGTAGTACAGAACGGATGTTCGGTGGTGAGTTTCTAGCAGCCAGTGTTAGTATACAGCTAAGCGCATAACTAATAATGATGTAGGATACTCTGGATTTCCAGTGCGTTTGCCAGGGCGGCAATGAGCCGGATATGAATGAATTCATGAACACGGTGCCTTGGGTAGGAGTTTTCCTCCACTTAGGCAGTTTCTACTGCTGCAACCTAAGAAGGTATACTAACTATTCCTCTCCATAGTTCGTTTGCGAAAGACTTCAGAGTGACTGCATCACGCAAAACGAGAACAACGCTGCCGGCCAAAAGAACTGCACATCGACATTTGGTGACAAGTGTGGCACGGAAGATGTGGACAAGCACAAGGGAGAGGGCAGCGTGAGCTCGACTAGCAGTTCTAGTGCAGCTCCTAGCGGGACTGCTACTCCCGCCAGCTCCGCCGCTCCGAGTTCGTCTTCCGAGGCTGCTGCCGTCCCTACCCATATTCAATATCTTGGAAATGGTGCCGCTGCTGTGGCTCTCGGCATGTTCGCCTACATGCTCTAGGAACGAATATAGGCGCAAGTTTCATGGTTGCCGGATTCGACAGCATGTATAGTTATTGATACGGAATAATTATTTTGGTGGCCGCCGTTCCTTTCCCCCTTATATTTTGATATTAGCAGCACTCCCCCCTATACCCCAAGTCATGTTGTACGTGACAACCCTAATTCACGAGGAGACGATTCGAGTATTGATGAGCAAGCATACGTCGATGGAAACTAATGTTTGAGGAAGCTGTTGAGAGTAAAGTACTAGCATTAGCCACGCCGCGACTCTGGTTAGTAAGGCTAATAAAAACTATGAGCTGTGGTAGCTATAGCAGAGACAGAACAATAAAATCCATCAAATGGTGCCATTGGCTCTTTGAGAAACCGACCCGGTCTAATATGAATTTTTGACACTTGTCCAATGGATTGTGTCACCGCCCCCTTTGTTTCTGGAAAGGTGAGGTACACACACACAAAGCTATTGTTTTTTCTTTCATGGAAAATGAATATATTGGCTCTTAACTTGACTTGTATCCGCAAGATCCTTCCGGAAGTGATTTGATGCAATGGTCAACTATCTCATACCGAGCAGCGAGCATAAACGATATCAAAGGTCCGACAAAAGCCTCGTTAGGTTATCTGAAGATTTATAGGAAGATCGCCTTGAGCGGCGTTGTATTCGACATATCAAACCCAGAGATGGCGAGCTCCAATGAATTCACCGTACCAGTCGGCACTTGTCATTCATTTGGTATAGAATTAGAATTCCTGGTAGCTTATTTACCGAATAATGAGCCTGATCCGAATGAAACCGAAGCTCACTTGCTCCCCCCTCTACTACGAGTCGATACCTCTAACTACAAAGCCACGATGGAAATCAGGGAAAGCATTCGCGCTACTCTTAGGGCAAATGGGGTTCCTGTTTCTGAAGCTAGGAGTAGTTACACTGCGTCGGCAGATTCGACGAGGGACGAGTCACCTTATCGACTTCGTGAGAAAAAGAAATGGAACGTCGCTCTGGATAGTAGTCTTGGGGAAAGGTTCATAGATAAATACAAGTGGCAAGCTATCGAAATCCAAAGCCCAGCGTTATGGGCAACGGACGAGTCGTTTAAGGAGATTGAGTACGTTACCAACGTCCTCACATATAATTACCGCCTCCGTGTCAATCCGACATGTGGTTTCCACGTTCACATCGGGAATGGAACAGATTTCTTCACAGGTCAGGAAATCAGGAGACTAGGTATGTTCCTCTGGGCTGCTGATCCGATTCTCTCACGTCTACACCCCCCGTGGCGCAGGGTTCACTCATATTCCGCAAGTGTTCGCTACCATAGCCGACTAGCTACTGAAGGAATTACCAGCAAAGATGTCCGAAAGGAGTTGGACTCGTGGTTGTCAACCGATGACCCCATAGCAATAACCAAATTTTCATATACCACTAGGGAGGAAGAGGCATTTGGCAGCGTGGAGAGATGGGAAGCATACGCAAAGTGGCGTAATCGTGTAGGTCCATTCATAACGTTAAGAGACGATATTGGTAATGCATCGACAGAAGACTCACCAGATCAATCTCCCAGCGACCCAGAACCTTCCCTTCTACCATCTTGGGAGGCAGTGGAGGTTATAGGACGTCACCTACGCGAACAGGAACGGGAGAAAGATGTACCCCCCGAGGATCATACACTACACAGGAATATAGGTTGGATTCGCTGGGATGCGTTGCAGGATACCAAAGTCATCGAACATGTTCATTTCCTTTGTAAAGACCGTTTCGGAACCACAAACCCCACCGAACTTGATACGTTCGACCAGATACAGCTTGTGGTTCTCGCACAATGTGCCTTTATGTATGGTAGTAGTATCAAGGACATAGATGATGAGAAATTCTACAAAGTTTTACTAGCGAGCGCGCCATATCTCGAAGCTGCGCGTTTCGGTTGGCAATACGATCCAAGTGCTAACAACTTCTTCCTAGCATCATCTACCGTTGGCCCCATACTCTCAAAGCCAAGACCGAAGAAGGAAGAGCGGATCGACTCGCCCTATATCATCAGAAAGTGGCAAAACATAGTCGAGCTAATGGAACCAGATAAAGATGACGATCGCCCCAGCTTCTCTGAATACAATGAAGCCATACAGACGAACGAGGGTATCTCGAGTCTCTTCGAGAAATTTAGATCCCGCGCCGACTCTCCATATTCCCAGTATCAGCGCGACATGCCGTCACCGCCGCATTTTGATTTTAGCCCTACACCATCTCCTACCACCACGATCGCTTTATCATCTTCCCCGGATACCCCTGAACCAAAGTCCAGCCCTCTCGATCCCAACCCAGAGCCTCTACCCAAAATCCCATCTTCTAACGAGTCATCTAACGATTCGTCACCTAAGCCACTAAAAAGGGTTTCCAACACACAGTTCAGTCCTTCCCCCCCCTCCGTCGACGTCGAGTCCGAGGACGAGGACGAGTCTTGGCCACCGAAGATGCGCCCCCACGATGTAAACAAGATCACAGCCCTCTACCAGTGCGAAGTCGCCAAGTACGTCACGGTCCCCGACGCAATGTGGGACCGCATCGGCTGGGTTCCGTCAATACTCAACCCCGTCCCGGACCCAGCCGGCGAGGACGCCAAAAACGACCCCATCTTCTCCAACGCGTTCAGGTACGAGAACTCGGCAGCAATCAAGGCGCACCCCATTACTTCGGGAATCCAAGGCATCGCCAACCTCGCGGCCTGCGACTCGGCCGTGGCCGTCGCGACGCTGCTCGAGGGCCCCTTCTGCCGCCGCCTCAATTACAACTTCAAGCACTACTCGGCGCCGGCGTTGACAGACGACAGGGAGGAGGGGTTCATGTCGGCGAACTCGCGCACGATCGAGTTCCGCGAGGCGGCGGGGACGCTCGACGCCAAGTGGATTTCGACGTGGGCGCGCGTCACGACGGGACTTGTGCGGTTCGCACGACGCGCGAGCCCTGTTGATTTCCTGGCCGTTCTGGACAGGCTTATAGAGCAGGAGGAGCGCGATATCGCTATCAAGGCGGCTAAGGCCAACAGGACTTACGATCCTGCAGACTACCGGGAAGAGGATAGGTATGATGTTTGCGACTTGCTCGAGGATGTCGGGTTGTTCGCTGATGCTGCTTTAATTCGGAGGCGGGAGCAGGAGCGTGGCCCGCCCAGGTGACGGGGTGTAGAAACTGGATATCATCCGAATCTCTGAGTGGGTAGGTAGCCTTTGCTTGGTAGGTCATTGTCCTTGGCTCGGGGTGAAATTGGTCTGAGATATGTAGGTTAGCGCTTTCACCATTTCCAGCCTTGTTGTGTTTTTGTAGTATGGATATGATGATTCTTGCATATGTTTTAGTGTTTAGACTTGAATTGAATTTACATTTGTTTTACATAAACTATATACAGTAGCTATTCATTGAAAATAGTGTGTTGCATAGTGAGCCGTGAATTAAAAGAGCCTTGGAACTTTCATTAGTTCGTCTTTACCCCTATTTACCCCTAACCTCCCGGCCTGTCAAATAATTAATCCGAAGCCGGGGGTGGGAGGTAGTTTACTAGAACTTACCGAATTCGTCCAGCTACTGGCAAATTGACCAATGGGGGTTGAGCTACTATACGGTCACGGACATACCAGTCGTGTTACACGGCCCGCCCTCCTTTTACCTTTCCGCTACTATCAGTCTTGGTCTATCATAGCAATTATAACATCGACGTCTCTCTAGACGAATCCTTATTTGATACGGCTAGTAGGTATAGACAATACCATTTAAATCCCTCCACAGTAATCAAAAGTTTTAAGAGGCTTCACAAATCTACCATTCACTTCTAGAGAGCTTGACATTGAAGCGCATTGTATTCGTGACAACCGCGATAAGCGAAGTCTATAGGATTTTGATTATTGTCCTGAGACAAGTTGATTGACAGCATATTTATATGGAATATTATTTAAGCGAGTACGGGTGTCATCATAAGCAAGTGAAGATAGCTTGCGTACATATGACCTAACGAAAGCTAGGCTTTTACAGAAGGCTATGAATAGGTTTTTATGCGATTTAATTAGAGCCTAAGCTACCTAGGTACCTACCTATCTATGCGTCAAAATATTCCTGATGTGTAAAATGCACGTACCTTGGTTGTCAAGCAAACACTCAACCACATGACCAGCTGCCAGACACGCCACCTGGTTGCCCAGCACGGCAACAGTTCACCCCCTCCCCCCCCACCCATTGGAAGCTTTATAATGTCTAAAGACAAGTAGACCTTTAACACCGGAGACCAGTTGGTCGAATTGACTAGGCACCTAAACTGAGGGGGGCTAAGACCTAGAGGCCACAGTTCGATTCACACACTTGGGGTTTAGCGACCCTCAACTGAGTCCAGATACGGCCAGATGTGACCCCTGCCGATGGTAAAACTCTCATTACCTAGCGAGGACCGGCACGGCCGCAAAGAAATACCCGCAGCGAAAGTAGGGCGCGCAGTAGTGACTGTCGGTGAAAAAGAATAACAGTTGGCTGGGCGTTGAAGAGGGAGCTTCTTTTTTTTCTTCTCCTTTCTCCCCCTTTTCATTATTTAAATCTCGTCGACTCTAATTCTACCATATATCTGTAATTCCCCCCCAAGGGATTTTCATCGTCGTGTTGACAACTAGAGCCCCGGAATCACTGTTTAGATATTAGCCGTCTTTCCATCGCTCCTGGTCGTCTCTGACTGTCCTCGTCTTCCCGTAATACGGACGAACTCTTCGAATTTGCTTAGGAACCTCACCATCTAACCATCAACAGGTACATTCTAACTATACTATATATACTAAATCCTTAACACGTAGGTAGTTAATAAAGAAAGGTTAGTTGCTTGCTATATATATTGTGAGAGCGTATATGCGATTTGGTTATCAATATAGCTAGAAGCTCTTTGCCATAGATATATTCGCGGTCTGGGTATCTCGCATGTATCTCCATAAACATAAGTACCTAACCTAATATAATTGGAATGCTCTTCGCGCAAAAATAGCGTTTCTTACATACCGTTGAATTTTCTTCGTGTCAAGGAGAATATCTAAGAGTTCGTCCTTAACCGTGCTAAATTGCGACTGTCAGCGACTACACAATTTATATATACGATGGTTGATCCAGGTCCCATCTACACGTTTCCTCTACGTAGCCATAAAGACATTTTGTAGCATACCACATGTTTCTGATTGTGCTAATTGAACCACCTACATACAAGTATGGTGCCCATTTGCCTTATATTCGTGACGTGCCATGCAACAACCAGTCCCAATTCATATATCACCACTCCCATAACTTACCAATACCACGTTACGAACTACCAGGTTTCTTTCTTAACCCCTTCCTTTTCAGATTTAGAAATTGGGCAATTTCTTTCTGTGCCTTGTCCATTTTAATCCGCAATTCCTCGTCCAAATCGTCTCGTACGAACATGATCGGATACTCCATCTCTTGTAAGGTAGGGGGGTCGATTCTAGCGTCATAATCGGTGAGCACCTTTACTCGTCCGATGGCCCCTATGCCAACAGAACGGTGCAACAGATCCGCGCCGTACTCCTCGTCACCAAGCTTAGCCTCCGCATCTGCGCCGTTCTTGAGTAGGATACCGATAAGTTCGAGCGTGAGGGCTTCGTCATTCTTACTGAGATAGAGGTTCGTGAAGTGGGTCGGATACGTACAGACGATATCGATGTGCTCGTGGCTCCCCCGTATCAACGTCTTGACTAGAGGCTGGACGCGGACCCAGTCGAAGCCCCCCTCGGCCCGAAGACAGAACCCTATAGACCGAAGGATAGACCTGAGGTTTCCGTGCAGAAGCTCTACGACGCCGTCGTCACCGGTCAAGATGTCGTGTAACATATCCATAATATAACCAACGGTCTCCTTCTCCCAAGTTTCTGCAAGATCGGAGCTCTGCGGTAGACCACATTGGACGACCAGGGAATCCCAAAGGAGAGAGCGCACTGCAAGTGGTATGCCAGAGCCTGTCGCCAAGACCAGCCAGGTAATCTCGCTGCGATAGTCTAATTTTCCGGAGTTTACGTACACCTCGAGAAGCAGTCGGATCAATTCTGTCGTGTTGGATGCATCCCTCGTCTCAAGTACAGCACGTTGGAGCGCGAGTGTTAGACAGAGTTGCTCGCATACTCCTGGAATGCCGATTACTGAGTTTTCTTCAAGAATAGACTGGTCCTCAAAGCGAAAGCCTCGGCTTAGTAGGAGACGCACTACGTCCAGTCTATGGGCCCCGCAAGCATGCAACATCGAAAGACCACAGCCTTCATCGTCAACGGAGACGCCAAGGTCGAGGGCAGCCTCCATAGCGTCAAGTTCCGCGCCTCTCTGTAGCATCCACCATATCACAGATCTGTAAGGCACATGAAGGCGATGAATTTCGGGGGTCCAGCCAGCAGCGTGTAATCGGTTGACCATCGAGACGGATGTTGCAAAGTGCATAGCCGAATAATTGCCGTTGCAGGAGGCGATAGCAGTAACGTCTGCCCCAGCCTCAATAAGACACTCGGCGAGATCTTCGTGTCCATAGACGAGCGCAACTTGCAAAGGAGATAGAAATGATTGGTCTAATAATCCGGACTGAAGCTCGAAGAAATAGTTTAGATCTGCTCCCGATTTGCGTGCCATTTCGAAGGTACCCCTTATTCCTTGTTGACATGCCCATGCTAGAGATCTGTAGCATCCGTAGGGTTCCTCACGATCTTTCTTGTACGGGTCTATTCCCAGGTCTAGCTTGTATAAGATCGGCAGGATCCTCTTTGAGAATTTGGTGCAGGTTAGGGACCAGTAGTATAAGTCTGTCTGGGATAACTCATAGACGATCTTGTCTAGGAGCTCGGCAGGGAATGCGAGGAATGTATAAGCACTCTGAATTTGCAGGGACGCCATGATATAGATGGCGAAATGGGTATCTAGAAATCAAGGTTGAAAGAGAAAACGATTGTAGAAAATGTCGAGAATCAAGCTAGGAGGAAATCGGAAAAGAATGTTAAAAGTTGGCTCGAGAAGGAGGTATATAAAAGTGTTTTTTTTAGGAAGGTAGACGCGAGAGCAGAAGTTGGAATATTGAATCCAACAAGGCCCACAGGTTCATGGGCCAACCTCGTTCAAGACGACAAAGCAAAGTGGCAGATTCTTGACGTCGACCTCCCCGACTCGGCGAGTTGCCTACTTGTGCTTAGTCGGCGTATGTAAGTGAAATTGACGCACACACCATCACCCGAGTCTGAACAAGGAGATGTTGGCAATAAGACTCTCCGTTAGAAGAAGACGATTTGAAGCCCAGGGAAAGAACAGAGATGGACGTCCTTTACTCCCTCCATGTCCCTTCTCTCACAGGAATGGGAACGGCATTGTAGGCAAGCTTGTCTTAAATTGGACGACAATTGAAGCCTATGAATACAAAACCACTTCTGGATACCCCGGAAACAGAGCTACAAAGTACAAGGCTACAGATCTACCTACATATGTAAGGCATTTGGCAGTGTAGTGTCCTCTGTTGTAGTTTAATGTGCATTTATGACAGACAATACGGACTTGTTTATTAAAACAAGCCAAGTAAAAGGCCATTTTTACAAAGTACCTCTTGGTAGGCCTGGCCTTGTGATATGAGTATAGATTAGACAGTTAGCTATTGCGAAATAGTAAACTAAAAAGGCTTTCTGATGTTAAATAATACATGAGCTCTCAGTCGTCTCGTTCATGTACGAAAATGGGAGAGTAGTTCATCTGTAGTCTATTGTACTCAGAGTTGTAAATCTGCGGCAAAGTAGCCTTGACGTAAAATAACGAGGCGAACTGTCATTAAATGGAAAATCCAGTGATATCACCACAGCAGCAATATACTTACGTACATCTGCTCCGTTTTACCCCTTATGACCTTAGGTTACCTAGGTACCCAAGGACAATGCTACGTGGAGCCATATGTCCCTAGTTCCTTTTATTTTGCGTAGAAAGGCTACAAAGAAGTTTCAATGATGAGACTTTTTGCCACGGTGTGTTGCAGAGCAGCCCTGGTTCAATGTCATGTGATAGATGTGAAGTGAAATGTTTCACTGTGGGTTTCTCTATCCAAGCCTTTTTAGAACTTATCCATTTTCTGTCTCATAAAGTCATGCACATTTGCTATATGCTAACTTAAACAATCCACCAAGTAGGAAAAATGTGTAGCTTTTATGTTTTTATGAGGATAAAAACCTAACACTAGCTATTTCAAATTGGGAAGCCTGTAACTAACTATGCTGAGGGTACGAACTGTTATATCATAGTGCCGTGGATCTAAATGTGAACACCAGTGTGTTGGCTGAGGTTGTAAGTTAGCTATATAGTACATACAATAGAGAGATCCTGTCAGATATACTGTGATAGCATATACATTATTACAAAAATTCCTGTTTGATGTAGTGGTATGTTCAATAGATCCCCTTATATAAACGTACAGTTGATTAAGTAATAGAAAGATCCCTAGCATAAATATCCAAAGTCGGTCATTTAAATATTATTTTATTAATATAAACATTATATTTGGCTTAAAAGAAGCCTGTAAACTTTATGTAAAGTTTAGCCTTAACTAATGAAAGTAGCCTTAAGTTTTAACAATGTGTTAAATTAATGTCTATAGTTAAATGAAACCATAATCTCAAAATATTAGTATATAAGCCAGAACAAAAAGACTACACGCTTAGGTTATAGTAGCATTTAGTAGTTAAGGAATACGTTGTTAGGAAAACCTAAAGATAAGCTCAAGTACAACTGATGTGTAAGTAGTAAGTAACAGATAGATATCAAGCATACATCACTACCTGTTAAGATTGTATAAGTTGATCGCTGAGCATGAGAGGATTCCCTAGGACAATCACTGAGTAAAGACTAACAAGAACGTATAAGCCACCCCGTCAAAGTTACAATTGGCAAGAGATATATTTTATAAGCAACTCCTTATAGTGAGAATACAGTGTATCTTTAACGTTTATCTGGAATTCACACTATCTCCGGTCTAAGACTCCCCAAAAGCATAGCGATCAACTAAATTAGTTTGTCGACGCAGTAGGTAGTTTACTTGAAGGTTTAGTTTCCGCTTCAGGGATTAGGTATTAAATGAATTTGGCACATTCATCCTTAAAGCACCGTGTACTTGGAATTACATCATCAAGGTTAGGTAGTAGTTATCTAAATTAGTATACAGTGGGCATCTCTTTTAACTAAGCCCAATAAACAGTATTATACACCTGAATCGCGACTAAGCGTCCCCAAATGTAATCCGTTTACGCGATGAGAAAGCAGATAGCGAACACGTAAATAGCATGTAAAGCAATTGTAAAACATCTCGGATTTGCTATGCTGACAAAATGCTATGTGTCAGATTGACCACATGACCAAAAGGTATCTTGTAATGGCATAAAGCCTGCTACTTAATATAGGACACTATACTATCGCCGGTGGAAATCACTACGACCTTTTTCTTTTACCGAGCCTGAAATGAAACAAACCGAGCTATGCAACAATTTTCCTTGTCAAAATTAGACACACTTCCTACTCTTAACCAAGACCATCCCCTTAAGGTTTTCAGTTGCACTGCTGTTCCATATGTGTAGGCAGATTGTAACTCGCGTAATCGGCATGGACAAATGCTCTATCCACAATTGGAACTGACTCTAGCACATAGCCCAAACTTTCACTAAGATCATGGGAATCCCGTAACGTGGTAGATGCGTCCAAGATAATATCAACTTCGACATTTAGTTTATCGCCCGAGTGGTAGGCATTCAGGCCCTGGATCTGTTTGATCGTCTTCGCGAAACGCATTGTGAGGTAAAGTACTATTGACAAGTTAGTTAGAATATCAGTTGAGAGGAGGGAAAGGTAGACTTACAGATGTTCCGTTGATCGGCGGTTGCCGAGAACCCGCTTAGATTCTTAATGTGTTGCAGCGATGTTCTAGACCAGTTGAAGATGACGACCAGTGACAGAACAAGACCACCTAGAGCGTCTAGCCACCATATGTTGGCGTAAAATCCAACTACTATTAGTTAGCAAAAGTCGGTAGGCAAGTTAGTCTCACGAAACGTACCTATAGGGAAGAGGATGGATCCCGTATTGAAAATCACATCCGTCATTGCGTCATCAGCTCTGCATATTATTAGCATACGAGTGTGATGATACCAGCCGTCGAGAGCACTTACAAAGCCTGAACACTCGAGTTCTTGACCAACCGACACCATAACCAACACAGTCCCTTGATGATGACCGTCCCAAGCATAATGCTGAGGGCCGGTATGCCGCTAGAAATAGGGTTAGCTCAGTCAGATATGGCCATATGAGGTAATTACTTACACTTCAACCAACTCGTGATTAGGCGACGCCAGTCGTTGTATCGACTCCAGCGCGACCTGAACGAAAGAAGTGATCATGATGACTGAGAAGACTAAAACACCTAAAGGTTCCAATCTACGTCTGCCAACAGGGTATTTGTACTGGTCTTGTCTGGAAATCAACCAGGTAGTCGTCCACACTATGACCGTTGACAAGAAATCCAACACCGCATCAACCAAACTGGCTAATACTGACATGGACGATACTGAAACGACGACAGCAATCTTGCCCGCTAACAAGAGCACGTTTGCCGTAAAGTTAACATAAATGGCTGTCGTCACAATCTTGTCGCCACTGTCCAATTCATCGTCTTCCTCTAGCCATGGAACCTCGGGCTTGGGACCATCCTCTTCCTCGTCGTTAACAAATAGGGGCGTAGTCTCAGTAGCACGGTAAATGTCCTTCGGGGTACGCTTAACCTTCTTCGTTACGACTACACCTGGAGCCGCCACATCCCTGTCGCCACCCGCCTCGCCATCCGAAAAGGTAACATTTTGAGGGCTTGAGAAATTCGTGAGGGGGGTTATAGGACCGAGCAGGTCCTCGCCACCCTGGCCACTTCCGTTATTGCTTTTGGTGACGCTAGCACCGCTTGATTGCTCCTCCGAAATAGTAGCCGGGATATCCACATCCTTGAACGAATGATGAGGTAGATCGTTATACTCGTTGAGTAGATCATGGGGCAGACTGCTGTCGAGCAAACGATCAATGTAGAGATACTGCTGTACCAAATAATTGGTGCGCTCGTAGTATTCGCGCAATGGCTTCCTCATCTCATTCAACTGTTCTTCCGTCTTCCAGTAGCGCGCCCAGTTATATCGAGGGTTCGACTTGCCAATAAGCAGCATAGAGCGCATAGTTGAACTATGGAGTATTTGGTGGAGTCGACGCTCTTCGCTTTGCGACCGGCGGTGGGCTTCATCATCGGGTTCGGATGGGGGACGAGAGAACATAGACGGTAGTAGGCCGGATTCCTCATCATCTAAGAGGTTGGGCACGGCACCTCGCCAGGTGCTGCCATAGTTGTGTAATGAGGTATGGGAACGACTCTTAAGCAGATGGGTAAGCGTGCTAGGGCCGTGCGGTGATGCTGGCGAGGGATTCTCATCCTGGGAAAGTAGAAAAGAACCGCGGTTGAAGGGAACAAATCCTCGACGCGGGTCCGAGACCGAGTTATCCAAAGAAGACATGCTTGGTGACCTTACAGGAGTATTTGTAGATGAGTAGAAATATGTAGTATGAGGTAGTATGAGGTAGTTTGAGTAAAGGAAGAGTGGAAATAGAAATGTAGGTAGGTCACCAGCTACCGTATGGGTTAGTGTAGAATTGAACTGGACGGCACTGCCTCGATTTTAGACTTTCTCGACTTAGACTAGCAAAGTCGGATGAATCTTGGTTAACGTAGGTATGTATGGATTGACTGTTTGCTAATTGGCTTCCCAAAAATAAGAATTGACCAATGACCAAAGACCAACGACCAAAGACCAAAGTAGACAACAACAGCAACGAAGAAGAGAAGAAGAAGAAGAAGAAACTTCGAAAAGTAGGAAACATGCATTACTAAGTACATATTTAAGAATTGAATCCTACATGTACCAAACATTAACATAACATGTAACTACCTACCTATGGATGGACATGTATGTATTATGATTTATTTCACTCGTTATTCTGGGGCCTGTTTGAGAGTTGCAGCGCTGCGTAGCATCTAAGAACCCTGTAAACGCCGGGAAGTCGTTAATTTTGAGGCTAAGAGCTGCGTACAGTGGCGTACACTGTACAAGACTAATACGGGAGTAGAGCCGATCTTACTGCAAATAGCATAGTTTGCCAAGACATTTAGTCCAGCATTTGCATCATTCGTCTTGGTGCTGCAAGTGCTGAGGCCTCTGATCCTGCAGGCTTGGAAGGGCTTGGGGGGCTTGGGGATGATTTTAACGTCGTAGTCCCCTATTTTGAACCCTTATCTGACTGTACATATTGTGAAAAAACCACTCTGATCGGCGGTCCCCTTACTTCTCGTTTATCTCCGATACCTCCTGGTTGTCTGGTTGGTTGAAAGGGGTTCCATCCTCCGCAAAAAGCTCCAAATACGTTTTACGATTGAAACAATTCGTAGTATTTCCGGCCCGTCTCGTCTACCTTTCCTCACCCCGGATAACTTCACTCGCATCCCGGGACCTTAGCTGCATACATGCATGTACATATGTAACACCGATTTCGCACTTCCAAGCGGCAGGAATTTCAATAGACTCACTCGGCTGGGCCAAAGCAGCTTCTACCTAAATACCGACAGGCCCTGCGTTTTCGTTCTGGTCTCATAGGCCAACACCGTTGGATGCCTTTGTAGTATATATTTTCTCCGCTAGCAGCGCAGTTGCTTTCACGATTAATTCGTGTTCATATCCGTGGATCTTCTGCTCGAGATCTTGTAGACTCTCTCCCTCTTCAATCTTGATCTTCTGAACCAAAATAGGTTCGCCGCGGTCGACTTCAGCAATAACATAATGAATCATTATGCCAGTTGTATTGTCCTCGAGCTTTCCGGCCTTGAAATCGTCGTATGCCCTATCGATTGCACCCGCACCGTCATATTTTCCTATGACAGCCGTTGTTAGAATAAGTCAAAGCCTATTTGGAGTGAACTTCGATGCACACCTGGTAAAGCGGGATGGAGATTGATAATCGGCACACCAGCAGCGCTGATCGGACGTAAGAAATTCGTCGTCAAGACGTGCATCCAGCCTGCCAGAACAATAAGATCTGGCTTGTCCTGCAGTATTCTCTCTGCCAAATCGGCGTCATATTTTAGCCTTGCTTCCTTGAGCACGGCTGCGTCTTTTTCGCCGAGCTTGTGATATCCGTCCTTGACCAGATTAAAGTAATCCGTAGGAATGCCGGCTTTCTCAGCCCGCTTCACCGCATATGCTCCTTTCCTATTCACCGTCACCTTCACGATCTTGCCTCGTATGCTATCAGGCGCATCAGAGGCGCATGAATCAATGAGCGCCTGTAGATTTGACCCATTACCGCTGCAGAGCACCGAGATTCGCGCCTCGGTCATGATTAGAGAGTTTGGGCGTGTCTTGTATATTATGCCAGGGAACAGTGAACTAAAACTGAGTATATTGTAAAAGAAGCGTACGGACGGACCTGGGTTAGCTCTTTCGTGTTGCCGAATTTCTCTCTGCGGGAGGCTTAAGCTTAAGCAAACGCGCTCCAGATAAAAAGATTGCGTCGCGGGGTACAAACTCGATAAAGGAATAATAAGCTCCAATTAGATTTGTAGAAAGTTCTAACTATATATTAAGTAGTTATATCTTTATAACAGGATATACAGTAGGGGGGACTCTCCGGGTAGATACGGAAGGGCAATCAGCGCAGACTTCAGCCGATGTTAGCGCCGATTATAGATCATATACCACTCCAATTCCCAGTTTATTAGTTAGTCATATACTATCATAGTAAGCAATAAATTCAAGATACAGTATGTATAAAGCGCGCATGCATACTAGTACTTATAAACAGGGAAGCCTCATACATTAATATTACCAGGTCTTTCAACTTGTTATATATTCTCTAAGTATTCTCAGGACCTAGAAGTCTTTACCTCAGATCATCCTCGTTATCAGCACCAAGTATACCTATCGTTGCCCTTCTCGACAGCAATTATTTAACCTAGCTACGTCTTGTTTATAGGTCGTCAGGTATATAGTATCAACTATTGTTCGCATCTTATTGAAAGTGCCAATTAATATAACATAAGTCTATATGATACCTATGATATGCTTTATAGGTACCTAGATCGAGTTTTACAAAGTACCTACGTAACTACACAATGCATTAATCTAAACCCTAAAAGGGCATAATCGTACCCTTGTAGATAAATGATCTACCTATAACAACATCCATGGATAAAGCTTTATCTAAAGAAACAAGACGGACCTTCCGGGATGTAACCTTCCAAGATTCCGCTTGCGTACCTATACAACTAGTTCACATATAAGAAAATAATAGTAAAAGGTATAAGTTAGTCACACTATTGAGTAGAGCCTCTCAGCCTATCTTGGTACGATAACAACCTCTACTCATGTAAGTTGATGGTCGATGCTCGTAAGCTGTGTACAGTGGCGATCTCCATATCTAGGTATGGTATCTTGTATTATTAGTTGAGACTTTGGAACGCCTAGTTACACGCCTTATAGCACATAAGTGCTGGCTGTTCATCCAGACACAATAACACCATTTCTGCCATCAATATCACCATACACAACTTACCATATTAATTCTACCAAGAAAAATTCAACGTTGTCAGAATGTCTGCCAATGGCACATCAACATTCACCACTGGAATATCGGTAAGGAGAATGTTATTGTTGATGGCGTATTGCGCTATCCACTTATAGGTTCAAAAGCCTTGGTTGTTGGAGCTGGCGTAGCCGGTATGATAGTAGCTCTAGAGGGCTGGAGGAAGGGTGTTGAAGTCGAAATTGTTTTTGCTGGTCGTGATGGTACACCAATGGTGCCACCACAAGAGTTTGAATGGAATCGAGAAGGCGTGGCTTTAACCAGTGCATATCCATTCCGAGTCAACTCACTCTTCGGTCGTCGAAACTTCACCGAAATGTTCCTCAGTCAGTGCAAGAGGCTCGATATTCCTATGGCCTATGGGGTTATTATCAATAAGTATGAAGAAGATATCAGCAATAGAAACGCTATCGCTATTTCCCTTGATGGCCACCGCCTTACAGCCGATATTGTTATAGATTTAGATAATATCAGGGCTAAATCTCAGTGGATAAAGTCTAACAAGTTATGTGTGCCGTTTATTTTGCTTGTCATTTTCCTGTTTGTTTTAGGCATTCAAACATCTTCTAAGCTCTTATAACTTAGACCACAGCTCCATCTTAGTTTCTTTTCAAACGACACTTCTAACTTATTATAGTTCTCTTACACTAGGACATCCGCTTAGAGCCTTCAAAGCCGACCTCGTAATTTATCGTGGAATATATTCAACAGATCACCTCAAGGACGCACCAGTAGCAGAGGAGTTTATTCGAAACCTAGAAAGGCCCATCTTGCTTGCTCTGGAAGCTAACAAGATCCATTGCATCCTTGCCTTTACCAAAACTGACGTGATCCTTGGTAATAACAACTGAAGTGGGTATTCAGCGTCTGCTTTCTACCATATCATTTAGTTGTAAAGTTGTCAATGGATATTTTAGGAAGAAGATGATACGAACACAACAGACTCTTAACCTGGTCGTCTACTGTGTCGAATGCAACTTTATCGTCGCTTTTACCGGAGCTAGAGACTTGGAGCCCTTTGCTCCAAGAGGCTATTCATCATGCACCAAATAAGAGCATCGATGGTCACTATGTTTCCGCAATCACCAACCCTGCTGGACCTCTACTGGTGGTCACATTATTCAGTTAGGTGACAGTGCCTATAATCTTTTGCCTGCATAAACAAACAGCGTCACTCAAACCCTTAAATATGCCTTGTCTCTTCCCGGGTGCCTTCATCTAGGGGGTAAAGGAAGGCCTAGGGGTCATTACCAAGATACATGAGTTATTACGGTAAGTTTCTTTACCATATTTATTGATTTTGTCATTAAGCAATCTCAGCTTTGAAAGATGGCCAATTATCTGAACTTTGCAAGGCATCGACGCGTTTTGTTCATCCAACACTTTGCTTCGTCAACGTGCAAGACTTCCATCACGAATTCAACCAGAAATCCATGCAGAAGTGTCTATGGGCACATAACCCCAATGTACGCGACTGGGAACTTATGTAAGGTTTGGGCACATCTCGAAACAAGAAGCCTTTTTGAGAATACTAACCTACCGTCCAGTCACTCCGAACTCGACAAACAAAAGACCCGAGTTCTAATGATGTTAGAACCCAAGAGTAACGACAACTGGAGAATAGTCTAAAATAATGTAACACAACGTGTGTAAGGATAATAGATAAGATTTTCTTAACTATAAATTTAAAATATTGTTTCATCACGTTTTGAGCCTATGGCACGTTGAATTCTCTAATAGTAGGATGTATAGCCACTCCTTATTCTCATTTCAACTATAGATTATATATATACATTAGACTTAATTGCGTAATACCAAAACTCTCTCCTCACTCAGCTCTATGAATAAAATCGGTCTTATATTTTAAGGCTGAATGAATTATATTTGAACCGATTCACTTACAGACCTCAACGTTACATGTTTTACCTTTTAATGACTGAGCGTATACTCGAATAAGTACAAGCGATATAAGAACGCTTAGTTCAGTGAGTTTCGTACACAATTAATAACTGAAAAGCGCCAACAAATGTGACGCCGTCTATAAGGGACATAAAGCAAGACTAACAAGACCCTAACGTCTAACGTCTAACGTCTATCGTCTACCTTCCCCTATAACCCATATTTAGATACGTTCAGGCTTGTACGATTTACCTCTCTTGTACAAATCCTGGACCGCACAAGCTGGCGTTTCTAAGGCAGAATTACTCCAGGTCTTGAGGCCCTCTTACGCAACAACAACAACAACAACCAGTATACGCCGTCACTCATCCGACTATACCATTTGATGACCACAACGTTCTTTGCAGGATTCTATGAAAGCCCAGCACGGCTAAGATTCGATATTCTGTTATTTTGTGATGCTAGCCTGGAGCATCGTCACAGTTACTGTCCTGGCGTCCCCTCATCTCCCCATCCTCGTCGTCGCCCCTTGCCCCTCGCCCCTCGCCCTGTCACCCAGCTGTCCAAGACTTAACACATGGGCCCCTCGCTGCCTACATAAGCAGGTTCCATGAAAGATTCTAAAGAGTTCCGCTTTTAGGTACTGCCTTCCAAAATTTCTAACCTGGCCCATTCACTCACCACCTTTCCTTGAAAATTCTGCACTGACTAAAAGTTCAGGCTTAGGGTTTTCTTCCTTCTTTCCCAAGCAGAAAACAAGAGTCTCATACTTGCCTACTACTGTCATTTCTGCACTTCACTTCACTTCACCTACCTGCAGCCTTTTAATACGCACAGGCTTCGTTATTGTCCATACATCATCTATCACTCGTTTTCATCACCTCTTGTCCAAGACACCCTATCGTCTACTTCATCTTCCTTCTCGACCATTCAACTCCCCTCGCCAGACCTTTCCCAGACAAGATGTCATCTGCAGCAGCCCCTCCCGTCCCAGCCGCCCCTATTGCTCCTATGGGAGCAGCCGGTCCAGCAGCCGGTCCAGCAGCCCCGGTTGTTCCAGCCGGTGGAGCCTTGCCTGCCGCCGTAGCACCGATGGCGCCGGTGGCGCCGGTGGTTCCCGCCGGTGCTGGCCCTATGCCTGCCGCCGTGGCTCCCGTTGCTCCCGCTGTTGCCCCTATCGTGGCACCACTGCCCGGTAATCTAGCTCAGTTACGTGCCATTCCACCCCCAGTGGTAAGTATATTATAACTATAGATTGTATATGTAAAGCAGGAAACTAATTTGAATAACCGTTTCTAGGGGCAATTCACCTGCCCATTGTGCGGGTCCCACGCGGTGAACTGGACACGCCATTTAACTAGGCACGTCAACGCGTGCGGATGGCCCGGCTGTGGGCAAGCCGGCTTCATGAATATGAGGCACGTGGCTCAGCACATTGATAATGTGCATGGTCAAGGAAATAGGATGTGCCCGGTATGTCAAACTTCACTCTCTGTCTTATCTCTCGTCTCCCATTTAGTCAGAGAGGTTATGCTGACTCTTGTCGTTCCAGTTCCAGGGATGCACCAAGGGCCCCTTTACGAGACTTAGCGGCTACTACCAACACGTAGGCCTCCATTGTCTCGGGCGCTGAACAATGTATTAATGTGGAATTGGTTGGTGGGCGCGTTCGTGTGGATGAGTTAGCAATGATTAGGTTAGGCCTTTTATCATATTCGAACTACGGATAGGCTTTCGTGAAATACAAATTTCTTCGGCCGAGAATTTTGTTCTCTTACTAACTTCTAGATCCGTACATACAGAGCTCGAGAACAGAGCACGTAGTTGACGCTAGTGGCATGTATAGGGAGCTTGCAAAGGCTTTGTTGCTGTAGGAGCGCATATACTAAATCGTAGGGTTGATTTCGTTTGTGTAGATCCTCTTGAAGATCAATTACTGTATGTACGCGAAGGAGGATCGAGAGGCTTGATGACGAATACTACATACGTCGGCGGCGAAATAGGGGCTGGTGAATAATCTCTCCGATTGCTCAATTTTTAAGCTTGGTTATGCACTTGCGCCTCTGGCTGTCTGGGCGGGCTTGTTGCAGATTTAAACCCCGTCCCCGGGAGTAGTTGTTTATGCCCGATCCAGGTTTTGATAAGCCTCTGCCATTATTGTCGTATTTATCTTTTTTTAGCTGGGGTCCGTCTAGCGTTAAAACTAGAGCCTCCCCCATATGTAGCAGGGCTCAAGTTTTCGTTGGTCTGAGCGGGAAGGATATGTACTTGAGCATTCACAATTAGGAGCTAATATAGGAGCTGATAGGTATGTTAGTAGCCTACTATGTATGGACTTTTGTAAATGTATGTATCTATGTTAGGAGATAAGCATATATGTATGATATAGGGGGTGGTAGTATCCGGCCTCGCATGTCAGATCTGATCAGTGATCTCCGGGCTACCGGTCGCTTCGAGGTTTTCGAGCTCTGAACCCCTGAAAGCATGGCCCGCTGACGACGCTAAGGATTATTGGATGGAATATGGGGCAGATTGCAAGGCTAGCTAAGTAAACCCCTGAGCCAGCATCAGATTCGTCAGTTTAAAAAGAATTCGGGGCATGTTCTTTCCAAGGCAACATCTCTAATAAGCCAAGATCTACGATGCAGAACATGACTGGCGGTGGATAGTTATGGAGTGATCTGTATAGCCCGTAAATAGTTGTTGAAAATCTGGGCAGCCTTATTCCGGGTACGGCGGACTTGACATTGTGGACCGGAACAAAACACGGCCGTGATCTAAAATCGTTTAAAAGCAGTCCCGGACTGGACAAGTACATATGTATGACAGGGGATTCTCTTGATCAGCCAAAGCTGCTGAATGTAGATTCATATCCATAAGTACGTACTGTCAAGCCACATACCTCGCGTACTATGTATGTAGAGATGGTTTATGCATTATATTTGATTAGTTATACTTGTACAATAAAGACTACATTAATTATATGTAGTCTTAACACGTGGGGTAGCTTAATAGCACTACGTGAGGTCCGAGCGATGATCCGAGACAAAAGAAAGCTAGCCTATAAGTTAATATCCTATGTATGCGGACGGGTACACTCTACATACAGACTTTGATACGCGCGGCCAAGCTCAATGGTATATGCGGGCAACGGAGACTTACCGCAAGTTCAGACAAAATTGAGAGATGTTGGCAGGTTATTAAAAAAAAAACAAAAAAAAAAGCTGATCTGATATGTATTCGGCTTGTTCTGGCAGTAGCAAGACTTTGCGTGTGGCTGCAAGATGCGGCGTGCGTAAAAGGTCAAAAAGAGAGAATGTTCGGGATGTTTTAATATTTAGACGCCTTTTCCATGGGACCGAGGTACATAAGAAATAAACTTTTACATGTCAACTAGTTACCGTACTTACATACGTATCAACCTCTATTACAAGGTATATAGTGCGTGTGTTCGCGCCCAAGTACCACTAGGCGGATCAGCTAGAGGCTATTACATGTCGATGTGTACTAGTTACATGTAGTGATACATTACGGTATTCTCGAAGCCAGCGCGGTTTAGAGAAGACGCCGTCTCCGTCTATTATGATATGTAGTACGATGAACGAATGGCTCGTGCCTTGAGCGGCCTTACCGATTAGATGGGTAATCCCGGGAAGCTAGAAAGTTAAAACGATAACCGAATAACTATTGGCATAGCGGATTATGATACTCAAAACTAACATCGTCCGGAAACCCTACGTAGGTATTAATCTATTTGCGAACTTTGCGAACTTTGCAAAATGTAAAGGTAAAAAGTAAAAAAAGGCTTGACCTTCTGTACGGGTCTTTTACTTAATCTGCGTAGTTAGTTGAAGAGTACTATACATAGTTAATCTACCTAGTTAATAATAATAATAGAACAAATATAGAAATTGGAGCTTATGGTAGCTCTTTATCACTTATTGTTCCAAGATGCGCCGATTTCCCACTCAGCTCGGTCGGCCTTTGCTAATCACTTCCTATTGACGCCGAACCTCGTGTTAGTGGATCGGCTTACAATTGGTTAGTTCTTGACAACTCCCTTGAATCATCATATTAATACATTCAAGCAAGTTTTGTGATGATTGAAATACGACCTTTTTTCCTGCTTGCTTGTCGACTTCCTTCTCTTTTATAGAAGCCTCGACGGCTTAAGAACTACTTTGGCGTTAGTTACAAATCTTTCATTCTTGTTGGACTAACTAGCAAGTTTGAGGGGAAGGAGAAGGGAAAGGAAAAGAGAACCAACTATGTATCGAATGCATAGTATTGAATGCATAGGTACCGGGTATGTATGTGTGCAAACGATCGATGCATTCCTCGTGGCACCTACGCGCGCAAATCTTCAAAGACTATGCAAAGCTAGAGGAGGCAGGGAGGTTGGCAGGTGAACTTGAACTGCAGTCGTGCAGTCCTGCAGATACAATCGCATACCAACCACATCAATACACACAAACCTCAGCGTCTACATATGTAGTCTGTATGTATCCCGCCTCCACTCTTTAGACCGGCCTGTTGGCTCGCCGATTCTAGTGCCTTTTCCCAATTTGCCTCTCGGTTTATTACCTACAGCCTACAGGAGGTACTCTATGTAAGTAAGATACATAAAAGTACATGTGCAACCTACACGACCTTAGTCTGTTCATCAACATGAAGCACTTGTAAATATTTCCGGAGGTTGTATGCTTGATTTGAGACAAATGCCACCCCGTTTCTAAACCCTGGCTTTAGGCACATGAACGTTGAAGATAAATGGAAAGATGGAAGCCAAGTCGTTTCTTATGTTTTGTCGACGAGTATTTTCCCCCTTGCTCGTTTTCCTTCTAGAGTGCAAGTTAACGCGTAGTTAGTGGGTTGTGAGCCTAGAACGTTGGCCAATGCAGGGCCTGTTCCTTGAAGCGGACGAATTGATCGTGCAATGCATGATCAGATGTAGCTAGCGCGAATAAGTTGCTCCACCCCTTACCCCCAGTTGCTCACTCGCTGGGTACCTTAGCACATGTAGATGAGGTAGCTAGGTACATTTTTGTATTGGATTTGCGCCAGAAGAGGTAGGTACATACCTAGGTAGGTACATATGTACTACGCTAAAATGTCACAATAGAACTGGAACTCGCCAGCCAACACTGGACATTGATTGAATGAAAGTTCCATACCACTTGACCTCATAAAAATAGAGTCTAGCATCCATGTACCATCCAATCCGTACAATGGGTACATGGAAATCACGTACGGATTACACGACACCTTTAGGTACCTACCTACTATACCTACTAACGTACATAAGTATGTAAGCCAAGATCATTTCCAGGTCCAGGTTTTTCTGCTTGTGATTGGAAGAAACATGTAACTAAGCATTGGCGAAAACGAAGGAAAAATAACGTCTCGCTGCCTCCTCGCCTGACACCATACATCCTCGTCATTGAACACACTCACACACGCCTTTCTACTTTTTTTTCTTCCTCTTTACGTCTCTATACTTTCATCTCTCCACCGTTCGTTCCCTCGTCCCAGCCACTTTTTGAATATTCTCACCTGCTCCGAAGCTGTGGTGCTACTTGGCATGAGCTTACGAGTTGGGGAATTAATATCGCTTGATTGTAGGATTTCTCTCTTTGAGTATTCTCGATAACACGGTGCCCCTCGATCTTTTTTTTTTCTTCTTCCCTTCGCTCGGTCGCTTCACCTCAGCATCATATCGTGGTTCGGAAAGCCAAAAGTATATTCCGACCGTGATCAATAACGTTGTCTCTTCACGTTATCGTCCGTTCTATCGTTCAGTTCGGTTTTATAATTTCTGTTCAAATTCGACCAGTTCTTCGATCGGCACTTCTCCATCGAATCGCATCTCCTGCAGCTTTACGTACTCTATTAATAAATAAGGTTAATACCTGTGCTCTCGACCCGGCAAGCGACCGTTACTAGCAAGCCGTGCTTGTCCACCCTATTTTAATCGTCACCTCCGTGTAAGTGACATACTACCTGTTTGCTTAGTTCGAAATAGATCAGGGAGCAAGAAAATCAAAATCAAAAAAAGATCTGTCCGAAAGCGGGAGAATTGTAAGGGTGGTTCGATATATCAATCTCGCCACGGAGACTGCTTGACGTTTTAAATTGGCTTAAGGCGGAACAACAAACCACCTTTTTTTTTTCTTGCCATAAGCTTCAGCTTGTCATCCCGTTCTTCCCGGCTTTCCACAAGTGTTCACCCATTCCACGTTTCGGGCTTTAAGACTAGTGCTTCCCGATTGTTCCATTGCAGCAAAGACCCAAAGACCCAAGATATCGGTCGGTTACATCTGCACAAGAACACAGCTGACTTGAACTTTTTTATCGTCATGCAGTTTTCCGCCGGTTCGCGTCATATTCAGACATTTAACAGGGCGTAAGCTACGACTTCATCGTCGAGACGACAACTCGATTCGCTATTGTAATAATCCCCTTTATTGTAACGTAACACACCAGCAGAGATCTCGCACCAGCTAGCCGATACTTGCAACTATTAGATCTTTGTTCGTTTATGGGTTCTTGGTAACCCGGAGAATTCGAAGAATTTGAGGCGAGTCAATCTATATGCCTAGATTTCCGGTCACCTTTCGGCGGAAATCTACCGCGGCAGAAGATCCAAATGGACCGGTAGCAGAGCATTCCTTCCGAGTCCTAGAACGGGCCGAAGTAAGCAGTGGAAAATCATTTGATGGTGGTGTCAGGTTGGCCCGGATGACGGGGTCTGCACCTAGATCAAACGTTCCAGATCATGCTGCGGAGGATAACCTGTTTGCGGGCTTGAAAAATAATCGGTACGTTTAAGTTCAGTAATATATCTCCAACGTTTTTTCTATTTTTGCCGCGGCTTCATCGCCAAGAGCTGGTCCGAGCAGAACGCAGTACGCAGTGGACTGCCCACTGTTACGAATTACTCAGATTTTAGCACGCTATTGTCTCAGACCTTCGTACAGTTATATTACCAAGCTGGCCCTAGCGTTATGCAATTTTACTGATCCTCCCTAGTAGCAGTGGAAGTTCCAACACTACTAAGACAGCCTCCGATAATTCTTCTCGTCACAGCAACGCCTCTACGGCTCCTTCGTCAACCGATTTACCACCACAGGACGACTGGCGTGGTGCTACTAGAAAATCTATGTCCATGGCAGATGTTCCTGCGCCACTAGCACCCAAGAATCACAGCGGCTTCCTTAAACAAGCAGGCCGAACTTTCTCTTTCGGTAACAGAAAGAGTACATTGCCAACCATACTAGCAGAGGACACCGTCCCTGCCGTCCCCGCGATGCCTGATGAGTATGGTCCAGGTACGCCCCGTCGTCGCTCGCGGGCTGAGACTGCTTCGACGGTCAGCACAGCGACGCCTCCCAAGGTTGAAGACAGGGACTTCATGTTGGATCTAGGTGGTGATCTTAGCAGCATGCTCAAGTTTGACAAGCGTGCTAGTGTCGCTACTATAAAGGAACGTAGCTTGATGCCAAATAGAGCCAGCCAGCTTACACCGCTTCATCTTGACAAGTCTGTTCCTGTTGAGCCTCCACAGCATTCGTGGAACAGCCATCATAGTCATCATAGCCATCACTCGACTGATGGATTGTTAATGTCTGGGCGAACATTGACGTCCCCTACTATTCATGAAACGCGGCCGCCACCTGTTCCAAAGCATGATGACAGCCCTAGAGAGCGCCGACGATCAGATGACGATGATGAAGACACCATACTGCTAAGGGATTCTCTTGCCGCCACTCAATATTTGGCTAGCGAAGCACCAGACCCTAGCGGAAATTCTGGCCGGTACAGGAGAGACGAAGATAGCGCCCTCAGTTTTAGGTCTGGCGTCACCGAGTCGTACTCTAGGTCGGCTAGGTTCGATAATAAGACTGACGACGATAATCTCTTCGATAGATCCGCTAGTCGCCCTAAGTTGGCATCAAGAACGGGCCCTCGCTCCCAGACCATGCCGCAGAATAAGGTTATGACTCCTGCGGAATTTGAGAAGTACCGCCAAGATAAAGCTCGAGATGAGATTATGGGGATAGCCGACGAGGAGGAATCAGATAAGGAGGAAGAGGATAATTACGATGATGACGAGGATGATCGAGAGAAAACAAAGCAGCTGGCTAAGCAGAGACGAAAGCAGGAGGCCCATATGACTGTTTATCGACAACAAATGATGAAGGTAACAGGCGAATCGTCTACTAACACTCACGCCTCTCGCCCTAGCATCTCGATGTCAATGAGCACTCCGAACTTGGTATTAAACGACGGGTCCGGCAAAGGTGTTTCCCCGATCCCCCTTTCGGATGGCTCCGATTCCGACGAAGAGGTACCTTTAGCAATTCTTGCAGCTCACGGATTCCCTAACAGGAACAGGCCGCCGGCGCGTCTCAACAACATGTCGTCTAACCCTAACTTGCGGGCCTCTGTCACGCAGCCTTCCTATATCAGTGGACCAGGATCTACCGTGGGCGACAATAACGGCCAGGGAGTTGGTAGCGGTGGCAATCTACCACCGTTTGCTAGGAAATTGCCTCAGGACCCGTACCTTGGCGCGGGCTTAATTAACCAGCCCCCAAGAGAATCATTTGCCTTGGGCGGAGGATCTGCTGCTTCGAATAGAGGGGTCCCTGCTGGAGGTCTAGTTGGTGTGATTGCCAACGAAGAGCGATCGAGGGCGTTACGACGTGGTAGTCCGGTAGTTGACGGTGCGAGGCACTCCTTTCCCCTTCCCTCGAACGTACAGACGAACGGGATGCCGATGAATGGGGGATTTGACCCTATGAGTGGCATTCCTCCTCAGTCGATGTACCCGATGGGTATGCCGCAGATGCCTAACCCGATGATGACCCCCGGCGACCAAGCACAGATGCAGATAACGCAGCAGATGAACCAGTTTATGCAAATGCAAATGCAATTTATGCAAATGATGGCTACTCGTGGTCCGGGACAAGAACAGATGCAAGCGCCGTTTCGACCCCAGGGACATATGCCAACACAGTCTGTGGGATCTTTGGCAGAGGGACCGCGCAATTCTTTTATGGGCGATCTAATGGTGAATCACATGGGCCAGGGAATGAACTTGGATCTACCAAGGGGCGATGCGCAAATGCGGACAATGAGTATGGTTCAGCCAAGCTCAGTATCGTGGCTTCAACCACCTCAAGCCGGCTATGCGCCCTCGATACGCGCCCAGGGCACGGGTTATACTCCTTCAATTGCACCCTCAGAACGCAGCAATATTGGGTTACCTGGAAGATACCGACCAGTCTCCAGCGTTGCAATGGTCGATCACAGCAGAACCGCTACCATGTCCGGCGCTATGCCAGCCATTCACTCAAAGCTTCAAGCCGAAGCGAAAGTGACTCCCATGAATAAGGAGGAGGATGACGACGACGAACAAGGATGGGAAGCCATGAAAGCGAAGCGGGAGAAGAAGAGGGGTGTCTGGCGATCCAAGAAGAGTTTTGGGGACGATATCGGAGCACTCATCAGTTAAAGGACGGATATGCATTCCAATGGCTTATATCATGATCCCGGGCTACATAAAATAGGGGCACGTGCGAGAGCACAGAACCATACTTATCGGTCGAACTCCTAACAACGCTTCCTTCCGTTAGTTTTTCCGTCTACTGAGAGGCCCTCTGGAACAGAGGACGGGTTGGATCCTTGTATATTTCAAGATCACAAGTGAAAACATGTTCTGCGAAGTAGGACGAGGCGTATATGGCCTCGTAAGGAAAATTTGGCTTTTTTTGGACAAGAGAAAGACCTGCCATTTAGAATAAGAGATCAGTGGGGTGGATTAAAGGGTATATCTGAAGCTCGTGGTGGGACGATTCATGATAGAACACCCTATATATCGGTAATCTAATACTTATCCACCCAGCCATCTACATACCTCGACGATAATCTTTAATTGTGGATATATACCTAGTCGGAAGTGATATTTGGATTAGCGAGAAGAGGATGAAAGGCTGGGGGTATTGCTTTATCGTTTAATTCATTTATGTTGGTAGCCAGCGTTATAGCATTCATTTAGACATCTTTTGGAATTTATCCTATGAGCCAAGGTATTTTGCTAAAGCCTATCGTAATTAGCCTATGATTTTCTTATGATGTTGCCCTGTCCCTTCGACGGTGATCGAGGCTACACTTTCGTCCGACTAATCCCTACCAGTCCGTTGTCCTTTTTTGGTTTCATTTTTGGATATTTTCTACTCCATCTTACCCCTAGCCCAAGCGTTGCGCTTGACGCCGAGCTCAACGGCGGCGAGGCCCCAGTCCTCGCCGTGGTTGTGGCCGCCGGAAGTAAGGCCCGCGCGGGCCTGGGCCTGGGCGTCGTCGAGGACGGTCAGGACACCGAAGATGACGGGGATGCCCAGGTCCAAGCCGACGCGCATCAGGCCGTGCGATACCGAGTCCGCGATGTACTCGAAGTGCATGGTCTCGCCCTTGATCAGCACGCCGATGGCAATGATGGCGTCGAAGGGCTGCGTCGCAGTTGCCGTCGCAGCTGTCGAGGCTAGGTCTGTTGTCGAGCCGCCGAGCAGGTCGCCGGCTGAGGCGCTGCCGCTGCTGGATTGCTGGATTTGAGAGGCGGCGTACATGCTGTGAGGGAGGGGTTAGCCTGACGTTGCGTTGATACAAAATCAGATAGCAATTGCGACGGCGCGAGGGAAATGGCAGGTAGAGTCAAGGACTCTTGGGTAGGCAAGTATTTTCGGGGGAGAGGGGGTTCCTAACCGCTGGACGGCGATGGGCAGCTCCCACGACCCCGGCACCGACTGCACGACGATGTTGGACTCTTTGACGCCGCAGCTCAAGAGCTTCTCCTTGGTGCCCTTGACCAGCGGCTCGATGATGGTGGTGTTCCAGCGCGCGTGCACGATGCCGATGCGCAGGCTGCTGCCATCGTGTTCCTGGGGGGAAGGGCCTTTGAGGGAGTGCGCCATATTTTCTCTCTCGACAGAGCTTAGTTGGTACCTATTTAATGTGGTAGACGGGTGTCAGGGCATAAGTGGTCCTGTTAATATATAATATAAAGCAATTGGGTAACGTAGCGTAGGGAATTGGAAATGTGAGGAGGAGGAGTCAATGAATGGTGTCAGAATGGGAAGCTCCTCATGCATTGTACCTACATCGGTAGAGGTAGTCGAGGTACACAAGGGTGGGCTGTATGAGGTACGAATACATACCTATGTATTGTACATACCATTCAGAGGGGCAGAGCATGACGCACTTCTGAACAGGGGTATACCCTGCCTTAACCCTTTGCGGCACCTAGGTGTCTGCCTTCGTCACCTGATGTACCTACAGTTCGTACTGTTGCTGCATGTATTCAACTGTATTTTTTAGAACCGGAGTATTTCGATTATGCAGCAGTAAAATGGAGGGAGTTACACAAATTCTGAGTCGTGACTTCTCTTACCGATTTTTAGGGGCTAGTAGGTTCGGCTAACATTGAAGTTCGTTAAGCAGGTGCGATGAAAGTCGGGATGCTTTAGTTTCTACTTGGCTCAAACCTAATAGAGCTTTCTGCTCCTTTTTCCCTAGTTGAAAACACTATTTATACTCTCCCTTATACTCTTAAATGTAGATGGAGAATAGACCTCATTCAATTACATCTAGCGTTGATAGATTAGGGGTCCAGCTATTTCATATTTCAACTAATATGGTTTGATCTTCACTATGTCTACAATCTCTCGTTTACCTGAATCTACCACTCGACTCCTATGTTCGCCTTTAGCTATCACAACTCCAGTCAGTTTAGTGAAAGAGCTCTTAGACAATTCAATTGATGCTAAGGCCACATCGATTGAGGTCATCATCTCTGCAGACACGGTGAAGAAGATCGAAGTTCGGGACAATGGAATCGGTATCCACCCAGACGACTACGATGCACTTGGAAGACGTGGTCATACGAGCAAACTTAGGAGCTTTGAGGAACTGAGAACTCAGTTTGGGAAAACGCTCGGCTTTCGTGGAGAAGCACTAGCCAGCGCAAATTCCCTAGCCCAAGTCACTGTCACTACTAAAATCGCTTCGGAGCCTGTAGCGGCTATCCTTCACATTCAACCAGATAAGGGAGGCATACTGAAGCAACAGCCAACATCAGCACCGGTTGGAACCACTGTAAGTATTACCGGGCTTTTCCATAAATTGCCGGTTCGAGAACAGATGGCTATTAAGGACTCGGTAAAAGCGATAGCCAAGATCCGCGAACTACTATGTTCTTACACCATGGCAAGACCGCAACTAAAATATTCGCTTAGGGTGTTGCAGCTCCCTAAACAGAATTGGAACTACTCGCCAAACTTGCGCTGCAGCGTAAAAGAAGCGGCTGTCCAGCTGTTTGGTCCAGATATTACGACTTATTGCTTCGAGAAGATATCTGAGATAAGTGATCTAACGAGCAGCAACGATTCTTCTGTCAAGCATCAGGAACTTCCGCTGAATTGTAAATATGTGTTCGAAGCCTTCATTCTAAAGCCGGATTTAGACCATCCCAAATTTTCCAAGCAACGCTATTTCTCTGTTGATAGTCGCCCTGTTATAGCAAAAAGGGGCACTATGAAGAAATTACTGGACATTTACGTTGAGCATATCAGTGTCTCCCGACAGGATACCCCAACAACAAAATCCAAAAACTACTTCATTCGGTTAAATATTAAGTGTCCTCCCGGAAGTTACGATGCTAATATAGAAGCGTCTAAAGATGATGTAGTATTCTCAGACGAGAAAATAGTACTTGGCGGATTTAAGGACTTGTGTAAGGAGGTGTATAATTCATCCCCGTCCAGTAACCCACATTCACAGTTACCAGCTAAAAGGTGTTCCATCTCAAACAAGAGGGACGATTTAGGAGCTCAAAAGCCACCATCCACAGGGACACAAGTCAAGTCCATCACTAACAGGGTTGAACCCCTTAGTTCGTCAGTACAGATATCAAACCAAACAATAGTACAACCAGCACTACAAGGTCAACAGGCCCTTGTTACCTCCCAATCACTACCTGCTCTGTTGGAAGCTACAGGGGAGCATACGCATAGTCCTGTATCTTTCGAAACTGAGCCGAACAGTACTCAAATATCATCCGCTCAAGCAGGATCTAAAGAAATTCAAAGCCTCCAAGACAATCTATCAAATACCGGATTTACTCAATACAGAGTTGACATGTCTACAGATTTCAATGAGTATGGCTACAATGATCTCCGGAGCAAGTATCCCGGTCCTGCGCAGGCACTACCCACTTTCCAGGAGAAACTAGATGCAGTCAAAAATTCGGCACCGGAAGATGTAAACCCGTGGATTATCGCAAAGATGAATGCGCCTATTCCTGGTCGGATCGTTGAAGAGCGTATCAGGAACGAACCAGTCCAAAAGAGCAACTCGCCACTCTCTGTATTCGAATCTCCAATGACTCCAGATCCTCCTATCCTTCGTCACATAGGAGCAGCACCACGAGACCTTGATGTTCCCCCAAGCCAGCAACACTTGGAATCACAAGCTCCTTTACGTCAATTACGGCCCAGAGTGCCAGGTGGTCCATACCGTAGCCCAATATCAAGGCCATCTGGGATGCCTTCACAGAATGCCATGAGTGGTATTACAGTGCCTACCACTCTGAAGCCGCGACGACACCGCAATTCCCTCCCCTGGTCACCACCCTCATCTACCGAGGCGGCTGTAATAAGCAAAGATCGATTAACAAATCCAAGGGACGATTCCATGGCAGATGGTATGAAACAGACAACAATATCCTTCCGGGGTGCTAGAGGAAACCGCAAACGACAATTACAAGAGGATAGTAGCGGTATCAATCATCAAGATTCACAAGGTCAGGAATATCAGGAGAATAATTGGTTTCAGTATGTGCCAATACCGGCGAAGAATGACTTCGGTCATAAGCTTTCATTGCAGAAGGCGCCTTACGTCTCCGAGAAGAAGCAGCATCAGATCCACGTCAACCCAAAGGTAGCCCAGGATCGACCATGTGTTCAGTCACGCAAGCATCACCCCGAAGATGAATTCAATTCCTCTAAAATAAACGAGCCTATAAATACGACTTTAGCTAGTGGTGACCCTCGGGCATATCTCTTACGCCGTCAAAAATCGATAGCTGCGGAAGAGAGCGGTATGAAGCCAAAGAAAATTCGAAGATTAAAGAGCTCTCTCCTACCCCTGGAAAATGTCCCCTCATACGACCAGACTCATTCTCTAACTATTATCGAGGTGTGGAATACAGAAACCTTGCGCATCTCTGTCAAGAAGTATGCGACGTACGATAGATACGTCACGAAGGGTGTCGTAGAAAATGGTCTTGAGATGAGTCTGGACGAGGGCCGCAACGTTGAGGAACGACTTAAGTTAGCCTTCCTTAAACAGATGGGCGCAGACGATGGCGAAGAGTTCGCTCCTGAAGTTAATATTTGCTCTTTTCTAAAAGGTAAAGGAGCTGTAGCTAGTTCGTAAACCAAGTAAAGCGGTGTACTGTTATTGATACCTGAGACGTTACTCAGGTGATCTAGTTTGCTTAAGTAGTTGTTTCACTATGAGCAGATGTAGCTAGTACTAGAGAAGGGGGGGGTGGGGGGTTAAGCTATAAGAACTATAAGATAATGGTGATATATGATGCTTTCTAGCTGTAGATACTCTAAGGTGCTTGTATGATTGCTTCATGGGAGAGAGAAGCCCATCAACTAATACTATTAGTTATAGCTAATTTGAAGTTATAATAGCCCAAGTGCTAAAGTTATTAGTGAATCTAGGAGAACCTCTGAATAGGAGGGCCATATATATTTAAGAACAATGCCCCTAAGGCCCCTTACATTTGCTGTGCTATCTAGGAAGTACCTATCCTTATACCGGCTGTCTACAGGTAGGTTACCGCAGTCGTCAAAAGTTACTTAGTCCTCGAAACAGGACAGTCCAGCGAAACCAACGTAACTAGAAGGCCTTATGGCTACTGTGACCCCTTCATCGTCTCGAACAATTGATGATCGCTAATACAGCTACGTCTAGCTCTACAGGGGCTGGTATGTACCCGGCTACGCTAGCTCTTATTCGGCGCTTCGAAAGCTTCTGCAGGTTTAGTACTCGCTATAGTTGAGGATAGGTTGGGTTTTCCCTAGTCGCAGCTGGTCTTAGTGACCCGAACCGTGAAGGAAGGCAAGGAGAGAAGACCGTCGAGACCGTGGGAGTCGAGATACCACCTATTGGCCTAGGGGTATCCGTGGGCGGGGGCAATGGCGTCGTTCTTAGCTTACTTGTACAAGAATTGCGTATCTACGTATGTATGTATGGATGTATATCTGGGGCTTGGGCTCTTGGGGTGATACGTAAGAGGGCGGGGAAGACGGTCGGACACGTCGTCTTAAGGGTGGAGAGCTTTAGAGTCTAGCACGGAAGGGGGGGTGGTTTGGGGTGGGATAAGGACGAAGTGTGGGTTGTTGATCGTCTGTTGTCGTGTATGCTTCTGCTTGGCGGTATTCTGAGGGATGGTTTTCTATAAAGTCGATAAGAGGGAGAGGGAGATGGAGGGTTAAGATTCGATTAGCCTAGGGGTTGTTTCTTCGCGGTGATGATTCACTGGATTGTATAGTAGGAATATGGTTAGTATACGGTTTATGTTCAAAGGTAGCCTTGGTGCCTAACTTGTGAAGAGGAAATCTGCGCAACTGAGCTTACTATGTGCTGTTAAGTAGTCTCAGGCCATTAAGTGTAGGAATACATCTTTGTATGGCGGTAGGCCTTTGGTATATGTAGGCTTAAGCTTACAATATATTTAGGTAGGGTTGATAACGAATATTAGGAACTGCCAACTTGCATCCACTGATATGTATGTATGTCCAATCCCTTCTATACTGGCCTAACCCGTATAGCCTACAACCTACAACAACTTACATAACCCATCTTACTCACCAGGGAGAAGTCTGACGATTATGCATGGCTCTCCTAGCAAGCGAATACGAAGTCAACTCCAGTGATTGGCCGACAAGACCCAACTGGATAGTGAGGAGGTGTGCCCAATAATGGGATACTGTAGGAGTTTGAACTCGGGATAAAGTTCCTCTCTATCCCTACCGCCACGTAAGATATCAATGAGTCTTCAGCGCTGTATCAACCCCTATTGGTATACTGGCACAGGCAGGCGTGGCATGTGGTGAGGGTGAGGGTGAGGGCTAAACTTGCGAGCTGACGGATTCGGAGTCAACCTTTCTCTTTTTCCTACCCGAGGAAGATGACATGAATGTCTCGTCTCCTAAGAATATAGTATTCACATAGAAGGACGAGGAATATGTCCGAATTTCCGATGCGGGCAGTCAAATCTGGATATATGGTTGATAATTGCTTTAGTATGCTAGTATGCATTTATTCATACCACGGCGGTGCTATGACGGCCCTATATATCGTGACGAAGTCCGTAGCACATAGTAATCGGTTACGATGAAATGAAGTCGGGATACAGTGGGAAGAACCTGCTTTTCCCACGGCGCTAACGCTGTGCCACGTTAAGACCCCAGTCGTCGATCTCGATTTTCTAAAGCCTCTAGGCTCTAGCAAGCTTCCGGCTCGTATTTGCATAAAGACCGACATGCAATGACGCGTTTCGGATTATATAGGTAGCCAGCGCGCAGCACTTAAGATCGGTGGTTCCGCCGTCGCAAACAAAGCACACGGTCAGATGGAAAAGAACAAAAAAAAAAGAAAAAAAAGCCGCAGTGATATTGGAATGGTGAAATAAATAAATCAATGGATGAATCAGTAAATCTATCTTCTTAACGCCTCGCAATGCGAACGAATGCGAACATCGCATCCAGGGTCCATCTCACCACATGGCATAAAAAGCCAAGGACCAAAACGGGCCACCGACTGAGTCGCCGACTGGATGGCGCTGTTCAGCCACTCCTGTATGTACGGCGCCCCCCACTGTCAGACCCGTATTAGCTTGGACCCAACGAGAGGCTCCCCTTTGGCTTCTTTCGGAGTATTATTCTTCGACGGCTGATGGCAGCGCATCTAAACGAGATGTCTAGCTCTATGACGGAGGTGGTTGATACGAGCGCACCACATCTCGCTAACTGCCAATGCCGAGTCGATACTAGAAATAAATTTTTATAAATCGGCGCAGCGGATGTTTCGAAACTTGGCCGTCCGCAATAGAAACGGAGACGGAACGCTCGTGTTGCGGGAGATTGGACCTTTCGGATGCGTAGAAGCTCGGGACGGGTGGAAAGGAAAGTTCCAGTGCTCAGGACATCGTCACACCCTTCATTTTATTGCTGGTAGAACTCGTTACCTAATGGATGCTATCGCGTAGTACCCGACATTTTAGAGTGAAAATGAATCAAAATACTGGGGTCTAGATCGAGTTTATAACTGCTTAGAGTTGGACAAAACACTTTAAAACCCCATCTCGATCACGGCTTCTCTGCAATTAAGGTAAGCAAATATAGTAGGTACTACCTAATGTCTTACCTCAGGTATGTACATATGTATGTCTTAGGTAGGTAGGTACTTATATCAGACAAGCGTACCTAGGTACCTAGGTAGTATTTATCACGTACCTTATCTTACATATAATGTACTTCATACCTGAGCTTATGTGGTTCTTTCCATACATAATTGTACCATATGTGGGTAGCTCCGTCGCACACTATTCACAATTAGTTCTACATGTATGTAGGAAAGAACGGGAAATAAGGTTCAACTAGTAAACGAGCTCTCCATATCATTGGGATACCTACCATCCTCGATTATACCTACCTTTGTGTTATCCCAGTTGATATCTAATAAGGTAGTACTGGTTCGATCATGATGACTTCATCACTATTGTCGTTACTTTTAATTGGCTGGGAACATGAAAATCGTCGGGTATAGCATAAATATCCCATCATTCGATTCTATGACTAGAACCATTTTCATCATGCTGCCTGGCAGTCTTGGAAACATTTTACGACATAGCTATTGCTTATAATTATAGACTGAAGCATAGGGGAACTCTCAGTCTCAGCTTTCACAAGTTTGGTAATGATAGGTAGCCTTGTACGATGTACGATGTACGAGGTACGTACCTACCTTTTTCGTCTTGGGCGCTAATGTATCAAAATGCGTTGGCTTTAAAGACGGCTTCAAGGGTCCCTGGAGGATCTCTCCGCCTTAACGATTTTTCTCTCTTTATTTTCCCAATTCATATTAATGAAGTTCCTAACATAGGTAATAATAATTTTTGTTAATAGTGTACACAGCGCTATCACTGTCGTTACCTCTCCTGGGTTGACTCTACACCACTCTCGGTTTTTTTTTTTTTTTTTTGGAGGGGTATTTTTATTTTCTATCGCGAACTACCTATTTTTTTATTTATCTCTTTTTATCAACTAGCATAACTAGAAACACCCTCCAGCAAATCATAGTCCGCAGCAGTAAGCAAGCAATCAAGCTAGGAAAACAGGGATTTTTGTTTTTTGGGTCGTTAGACAGGCACGGACGATACAACTTTGGTTGTAGACTCTGCAGCAGCTGCAGAGGCTGGTAGGCTAGATTTGGTAACATCATAATTCACTTACAAACCGAACGACGCACTGCCACAACAACGCCCCAAAGTAACCCGATATCCGATCTCCTTTCCTAAATCCTCCCTCGTTTTTTCATAATCATTCTCTCGTATTTACCTAGGTTAGGTATATTTTATCTTTACGAAACAGTACTTTCATATCTTTCAAGTGCGTTTGAAACATTTCCCCGTCGCGCGCGTCCAATCAATTGCAAGGTCCAGCGAGACTGCTCTTCCCGGCAACGATGTGGCCCTAGTGGTCCTAGATCCTTCAGCGTTAAGCCTTGGGCGACACTATCTTGATACCGCTCTCCCGACGACGAACGATGCGAAATCATATTTTAAGGCCTCCTAGTACGCCTACGTCCTATTCAAGATTCGCCGACGTCGATGCCGACGACGACGACGCCAAGTTTGACGAGAATCAAGATGTATATGCGGCAGATGATGCTTCGCCCGTCAAGATGATAGGCACCTATGAATCAGAGCAAGATAGATGCTTGCCATTATTGTCTTTGCCAACTTCTGCCCCAACAACCCGAAATTTCGGAATCCCGTCCCTATCCAGGATTGTGGTGGGTTCTTTGGTAGCATGTACTTGGATTCGTACCGCATCCGCTGTAAAAGTCGCGTTCGACAACTGTCTAGATAGCAACTACATCTACTCCAACCAACTACCAGAGCAAGTTCAGCTTCAATGGGTTCCCCTGTATGTCGACGCTAAATTCGACACCGAGAATCCGAACCACAACCTGATCGTAACAGTTTGGGGGAATGTGACGGGGCGCGTTGGCACCGATCCGCTGCCACCATGGAATTCGTCGGTTTGGGATGATCCGAGTAAAATACTGAATGGAAAGATACAAAACGAGCCCGAACCGAATCTGCCGGCCGCTCAACGCAAAGTTACAACTTTATACTACAAAGTTGACGTCTCGACGTACGAGCCTTATCATAACACCGTGAACTTCTGCGGCAATATCCAGAATGGGTCGTGTCCGCTCGGCCCCGTGTTCAAGGATCAGATACCCCAGTAGGTTGCTCCCGCAGAAATCAAGAAAAGGACGGCAGAGGATGTTTAAAATTGGCTATTATGATGAACTAACATTTAAATCTATTGTAGAGACTCACCACCCTACGACTTCCCGTCGTTCAACCTCACGAATGACTTATCTTCAACCTATGCATTTACGTCACTTGCTCCCACTTTCATTATTTGGTATGGCGATTCTGGGAAGACTACGATTGGATGTGTTTCTACTATTCTCACGCCGGACCTCGGCGGAATCGCCTGGTCTCTGAAGTTTGTCCCGCTATTTGTACTGATCTTGGTGGGGTTTGCGACGGCTTTCGCAGGAATCTTCAGTCCATGGGGCACGAGCGATGTCTTCCATTGGACATCAAATTACGGTAGAGATCCCGATCTTTTACGTCTAGTTACTCCTGGGTTCGGCGACTGTCTCCATTACATCCAATACGTCCTTCTTACCGGTAGTCTTACCCTGGAATACCCCGGATTCTATCAGCCAGTTACGAGTCAGGTCTCTTGGGCTGCGTTGATGTTCAACCAAAGTTTTGTCTCCAAGGCCGAACCCTGGCAGAGTGTGGTCGACGGACTCTATAAGACCGATGGTCAGTACGGTCTTGAGAATACTGCGCAATTGGAGGGCATGGCTCAAGTCGAAGATATTTGGGCCGGTATGATGGTATGGTTACTGGTCATCATTGGGGCCGTGCTCTTCTTATTACAAGTCTGGTTCTTTGTACGATGGCTATTACGATATATCAACCACGTCCCCGAGGAGGATCTTCGATCCAAGAATATACCTTTCTCAATCGGCAATATCATTCGCATCGTCTTCAGCTATTTCTTACTTCCCGTTGTCGCCCTGACCGCTTTCCAGTTGGTGGTTGCGGATCGTTCCACGGGCTATCTTGTAGGGTTGGCCGTTCTTACTTTGGTCTTGATCATTGGATTTTCGATATGGCTCATGTACCTCATCATAAGTACCAAGCCTAGGGCGCACCTGTTTGACGACCTCCCGACCGTGCTCCTCTACGGGCCCCTTTACAATACATATTCTGACCAAGCGGCTGCTTTCGCGATAATTCCAATTATACTAACACTATTACGAGGCATCGCCGTTGGCGCTGTGCAGCCATCGGGTACCGCACAGGTAGTAATATTGGCCGTATGCGAAGTGATTCAAATACTGACACTTCACGCGTTTCGGCCTTTCCACTCGCCTACTTCGATGAATGCCTATCATACGGGATTTTCGGTGGTTCGCTTTGTATCTGTGATACTCATGGTTGCGTTTACACCAAGTCTAGGAGTTTCCGAGGGCCAGAAGAGCTGGATCGGTTACGTGATCTTACTGATACACGCATGTGTACTGATTTTTGGCTTCCTACTAAACGCACTACAGACGATCATCGAGGTTATCGCACGGCTATTAGGTGCCGGGGGAGATAACATTGACGGGCAGAGAAGGGGTGGGCTTTCCAAGATCTTCGGTGCTCGCCAACTATCAAGACGCGTAGACCGACGCGGCGGTCCATCCCGCCAAAGTCAACTTAGTAGCACGGCGATGTTGACCTCTGAAACTGTAACGAAACGCGGGTACGGACGCGTAAGAAGCGAATCAGCTGGTAGCATTGGGATGCTTGCCAGTTCTAACCTAAGAAGCTCAAGTGCTCTAGATGCCCGAAGTCTGGACGCGTACTCAATTCCACTTGGCAGTGGCGGTGCTTTCACCCCGACGACGACAACCCCTGGAGACGCTAGTACATTCTCCTTTCTGCCGTCTCCAGGGCAAGCTACTCGTCCTCAGCCTACGGCTGATCCCTACTACCGCCCCCCACGTGCTCGCCGAGCTACTATTGATGAGTTGGGCACTTCGTCGTCACATCGGGCGCGTAGCTCCCTAGCTAGCATTGACCTATCAAACCATCGGTTAAGCGAACCTACGGGAGCAACGACAGGCGGAGATGACGATGCACCACCCATGGGGAAGATAAATCCAGCTCCGGCACCTGCGCCATATATACCGGTTTTTGCGCCAAGGGCAGACTACTCGACCCGCGAAGTCGACTTCTATTACGGGGTGCGTGGTCCCGCATTAAACTCGGAGGGGCCGGGTCGCAAGTTAGGCACGGGTCCAGCAGATCCTACCAGCCCAGTCGCGACTGCTACTGGATGGCTTAAACGCCTTTTCGGCGGTAAGACTAAAGAGAAGGGCAAGGGCTTCGAAGTAGTCAGAAGTGCCCGAATGCCCCCTGCGATGAGGGCCAGAAATGGCGAACTTACCGAGGAACCACCGGAGGGCATACCGGTAGCAATGGGTGTACTTCGAAATGGCCCGATAGAAAGCGACGATGAGGACGATACGCCAAAGTCGAAGAAGACCAAGCGCGTCGTCGAAGATAGTGCCCAAGGCGAATTGCTTAACGACGACGGTGAGCCTCAATCAGATGGCGAGCCTCGATCAGATGACGAGATAGACATGGAAATACCCAGAGTCGCTGAAGAGCCACCCCTTTTACCCGATCTTGACGCAGGCGAAAGCTTTAGGATCCCTAGTAGAATGCACTCCAAGGCGAGCAGGCATCCGTCACAGAGAACGGTGAAAGCTTCATCAGAAGTTGGGGAAGTGCCAGCAGTGCCCGAGGTACCTAGGAAGAGCTCGAAACGAAATTCCAGCGTAAACCCGTTAGAGAATAGGCAACTTATCGATCTCGCGCCAACCTTGGGGGTGCCAATGGTGCAGACTCAGTCTAACAATACGGGACCAACCGGAAGCATGTCTGCAAGATTGCCATTCGATCGAACTAATTCGCAAAAGCGCCTTTCGGTGTCGTCGGCGGCAGGAACCGAGGCCTCCAGTCACGTACCCTCGGCCGATGGCACAGAAGACAGACCTACAAACTACGGTTACGTTCATCAACATAACATCAGCAGAGTCGAACCCGAGCAAGGGATGGATTTACTTGGAAGCTCGGCAGAGGTAGTAGACATGTCGAGGAAGCCAAGCCCCGGCTCGTCGGTATCTAGGCGATCTAATCACTAGGTTAAATATGTCACACACAAACACACACGCACACACACACACTTACACCTACCTACACCTACACCTCAGTATCACCTATTCACGTGTAACGAATTTCCTTGAATCGCTGTATAGGACGAATGTATAGAGTCGAGCAGCCCATTGGCAAGGGCTATAATAGGAATTTCAGCGAGGCGATTTGAAATTTTGCGGTTGGGACTAGCAAGGCGCTTTTAGGATCTGATCACTCGCATCTTAGGGTAACGATGTTTCGATGCCTTTTACCAATCCTTGTTTGTACTCGTACGCGACGAGTGGCCTTGTGTTGAGCGATGGCGTACAAAAAATGGCAAGGATACAGTATGGGAGGTTGGAAATAGGTACGTGTCAGAGGAAGGGCGTAGCATATATATATATATACATATACCTATATATAATTGCATGCGGAAGGGAGGGGAAGCGTTGAGAATGGAAGACATAATAATATATATATAAATCAAAGTAGCGTACCCCTATTCGGCATTTTAGTGACTTTAGTACCTAGGTAGGTAGGTAGGTATGTACATTAGTTAGGTATGTAGGCTTAGGAATTTCGGTATTCCGAGTTATAAAAGTTATAAAAGTTATAATAAACGACACGGAGTCCCGATAACGGAGCGGGAATCAACATCGGGCGCCCTTGTTCTCCATTAAAGCCCCATGCGACCTTGTACCGGCTGCATCCAACTTATACGACTTATTTTCTAAATCGTAACTATCCTTTCAACCCTCCTAATATCTATCGGCACTATTTACTTGCCTTCATACCTAGGTACCTATCTATATATATTCAATACGGAGCTAGAGATTCCTTATTTACTAAACTAGAGTGACCGGAAGAAGACAGAATCATGACGGTAGAGGAGAGTACCGCAAACGGGGTATCCGTGCAAGATGCCGCTAAGCCGGAGCTCGTCGAAGGAGTTGCCCACGAGAAACCCGTCGTTGGCATAGATGAGACAGAAGCACCAGTCACGGCGACAGCACTGGCTTCTAGGTTCCAACACCTCTCGCTGTCGGCACAAACCATCCACGCCGACGATTTCCTCAACTCGCACCAGTCCGTCGCCCCGCCTATGCACGTCTCGACTACGTTCCGGTATAACGACGATCCGGACGAGCTTAAGCCGTGGACTAATATCAACGTATGTTTTCTTATTATATACTCGTTCCTCGAGAGAATGAACGATATGTGGAAAAAGAATAAAAGTCCAAATAAAAAGCTAACAAGCAACCCAGCCCAACAACCCCTACGACTCGCACGTCTACTCGCGCGACACCGCCCCCAACACAAACCGCCTCGAAGCCGTCCTAACATCCATCCTCCACGGCCCCGCGCTAACCTACTCCTCCGGCCTCTCCGCCTTCCACGCACTCCTAGTCTTCCTCAACCCGCGCCGCATCGCCATCACCGACGGCTACCACGGCTGCCACGGCGTCATCAAAGTCGTGTCCAAGCTCTCCGGTCTCCAAACCATCCCGCTCGACGCCGACTTCGCCGACCTGCAGCCGGGCGACGTGGTGCACGTCGAGACGCCGTTGAACCCGACCGGCGAGGCCAGGAACCTGAGGTCCTACGCCGACAGGGCGCACGCCAGGGGCTGTCTGCTCTCGGTCGACGCGACGCTGGCCCCGCCGCCGCTGCAGGACCCCTTCGCCCTCGGCGCCGACGTCGTCATGCACAGCGGCACCAAGTACTTCGGCGGCCACAGCGACATGCTGTGCGGGGTGCTCGCCGTCCACCCGCGGCACGCCGGGTCCTGGATGCCGCAGCTGCGGGCCGAGCGCCTGGTGCTGGGGTCGGTGATGGGCAGCTTCGAAGGGTGGCTCGGGGTGCGCAGCCTGCGGACGCTGGAGCTGCGCGTGCGCAAGCAGAGCGGCGACGCGGAGAAGCTCGTCTCGTGGCTCGCCGGCGAGACGTCGAGGAAGAACAGCGTGGTGGGCGAGCTGGTCGCGCAGGTCAAGCACGCCAGTCTGCAACAACAACAAGAAGAGGGCTGGCTGAGAGACCAGATGCCGGCCGGCTTCGGGCCCGTGTTCGCCGTGTACCTGCGCGACGCGGACGACGCGCGCCGGCTGCCGAGCAAGCTGGCGCTGTTCCACCACGCCACGAGCCTGGGCGGCGTCGAGTCGCTGGTCGAGTGGCGGGCTATGACGGACGCCGGGGTCGACAAGAGGCTTTTGCGGTTTAGTATTGGGATAGAAGGGTTTGAGGATCTGAGGGACGATTTGGTGCGAGGGTTTGAGGCGCTGAAGGCGGAGAGGGCGAAGAGGGATGTTGGTGCCAAGGTTGCTTCTGACGGCGGTGCGAATTTGATCGGGGGAGTGTGATGTTATCGGGTTGGGATTGATGTGTAGGTAGGTTGAAGTAGCTATCCAAATTAAAAGGAAGAAGGTTGGACTATCTACTGCTTCAAATTATATAATATGAACTAACCTAGTTATATTGCTTATAAGAACAAGAAAGATATAGACAACCCTGTGTTCAAGTATGCAAGCACATTCTCTGCCATCCTCAGCTGATGTTGAAAAGGGGTAACCCCCTATATTGGGAAGACTACCTCACAAGAACAGTGCAAACCTACGCGGGCTTATTAAAGCCTCGGGTGGAATATATATAGAATGAGTTAGAACCAACAGAAGTTTTATACACTTGCGGTCAACTCACGATACTATATACTCTTAAGGCGCCTCTATCCAAACCTACATACTTCAGCAAAGCAATATGTTTATCCCCAGCCTTAAAGCTCACTCGCTATAATAACAACCTGACTCTTCGTTATTCATACCCTATTCCCTATTCTACAAGCTCTGAGTAATACCCTATTCCTTCTAAGCCAGACCAATAAGCCTTAATCCCGACACCAGCTCTTCTCGGAGCGTCTAATTTGTGAATAAAGATTCGGTATGGGTTTATATACGACGCCTCCTATTGGTACACACACTTGGGTCGGCCTTTCTTCTTGCATGTAGTTTTGTATGTAGGCCTGCCCTGTACGCCGGCTCGTACGCCATTATCATTCATGTATAGAAAATGTTGGGGCGGTCCTGTCTACCCTAACCTCAAGTAGCCTATATTTTAGTATACGGCGCCGGGTAGCGCAGCGAAGTGGCAGAGTGCCATTTGGAGATGAAGCAAGCTCTGCTGGATGTAGACGGGGCGTAATCATAGGGACCTTGTCTTTTCCTCCCACGTCTATAATGGTATACATTCGTCGCCAACGACGATGCACTAGTTGCGTTGTTAATACCGTTGCCGCCGCGAGAAGCTCAGCGCTGCCCCGTTATGTCGAGCATCTCCGTCAGGCTAACAACGCGGTACCCGTCTTTCCTCAGCTTCTTCAACACCTTCCGCAGCATCGGCGCCGTCCAGCCACGACGGTCGTGGCATATGATCACAGCACCGGGGCGCACCATGCTCAGGATATGGCGCGCGTTGAGCCAGGACCAGCTGATCTGCGCATCGTGCGGGTACACGCTGCCAAGCACGATGCGATACCCGAGCTTGTCGACCAGTGCGCGCATGCGGTCGCTGAAGAAGCCCGACCCGGGCCGGAAGTACTGAGGCGGCATCTTGGGGTTCTCGACGCTATTAGCTGTCGCGTACGCAGCGCGGATACGCTCGCGCACCGTCTCGATCTGCGTCGTCAACTCCTCGTCCGACAGCGCGCGCGACGGCTCGTCGTGCATAGCGTGGTTGCCCAGCTCGCTGCCGCTGCGCACGATATCCGCCAGCATCTCCTCGCGGCCGGGCACCTGGCCGCCGATAACGAAGAAGGTAGCCGTGGCCTCGTGGCCGTTGAGCACGGCGAGGATTTCCTGCGTGTGCTCCGACGGGGCGTCATCGATGGTCAGGGCCACGACTTTCTGGTCCGTGGGAACCTCCCACAGCACGTCGGGCCATCGCCGCGAAAAGTACCGGATTAGGGCCCGCGGAGGCTTATAGACGACGTAGAAGGGCAGCAGAAACAGACTTAGGATGACAATCAGGGAGACCAGGGTAGTCATCCTCCGGCGCCGGGCCCGCCGCCGTAGCTTGGAGGGCAGGCGGAAGAGCGCGGGCAGGCGCAGCATTTGCTTTAGGGGTGGATCAAGGAGGGTAGCATTCGATGATTGGGCGGGTTGATATATTCAAGATGGCGGCTCGGGCATCGAATCGAATGGCGAGGACCTCGGCACGGAAGCGTCGTGCGACTAGGTACAACTACAAAAAAAAAAAAAAAAAAAACAAGTGCGACGGGACTCGGGCTCGGACTTTTTCGTCATGCGTGTATTGTTTCTCAAAGAGGACGAAAAAGGCTGTTGTTTGTGCGAGACGAGACGAGGCAAGACAAGGCAAAGCCAAGAAAGGAAGGGGGATGAGAGAAAAATGGATGGATGGAAATACGTCAACTGCGTCGTACACTACCTACCCTACCCCCGTTGCTTTAGGGGCTTCAGGGGCTGATTTTAGTGGGTTGGATCAATCAATTAGCATCCCGGTGTGCTAATTTTAGTGGTCGCATTGCACGCAGTGATGCCGTTCTCCACCGTGGGTACATACATACGTGAGTACGGATTACGTATACTTGTTATACAGATGGGATGCCATGTTATTAATAATCATTTATTAATGTTCGATCATTCTTATACATACAAAATATAGGTACGTAACTAGCCGAAGTTAATGTACGCATGTGAATGTATTACATAAAAATGTATTAGTTACGGATTAGTTAGTTACATAAAGTCCAAGTTCAAGTTTTATTTGACACAATTATTATGACGTAGTTAAATCGCTTAACCTAGTTAATCGGTAGTTATAAGTAATAACTATGGGGTTTTAATGATTCCCGAATGCGTTTCTATCCCATCTTTTTACATCTAACTATACTCTACTCTATACCTTGGTACGCATGAAACCGAGGATGAACTGCTCCATCCCACGAGCATTCCGCAATTTCACCGCCCCAAGTCTTCAAACGCGACGCGGAGATATCGTGACTAGGATTTGCATAAACGTATTTAGAGATACCTAGCGACCATGGTTGTGACTTAATCTACTTACTGCTATAGCATCTTGAAACGATTCAATTAAGATCGAACAGCTGTGTGTCGTAGCGTTTTTTATCGAAATTGGGAAGGCATATGGTTTTTACATCCATCTTTAAAATACCTATATGAGCTGCAGAGACCTGGTGGTATAGACCAAGCCACGTTAAGATCGTCGTGGTTTAATAGTGTCTTGTCACCTACTATGTATGTAACTAACTATGTACCTATGTATGTAGCTATTTTCGGAGCCAAAGACGACAATACTCATGACTACCTTTGGTTAAGATAAACCGAGACTCTACCTAGATTACTAACATGGGTCTTTTGACCGACAGCTGGAGGCCGATCTGCTGAGATAAGGTCTTCATGTCTAATGTCTTAGGCTATCCGTCATGTCATCCTTTACCTAAGTAACGTAGTGAGCGCTTATACACTACTCTGCCAGTCCGGATCACCAGACACAGCTGCGGGTTGCCCAGTTGTTATTGTCTCTTGTCATGCGGGCCATGTTCGCACGTGTGCATACATATCTCCGTATCTCCATATCTCGGCCGTATTCCTCTGAGACCTGCTTGAATAATACAAACGCCGATACTATACCACAAGAAGGAGGAGGTTCTTATCGTGAACTAGTCCAGAGGGCGACATCCAATGAGGGGCTACTCTCAGCTGTGTGTCTCGAGAGAGAGCTATTGTGCGGGGGGTGCCTCGTGCTACTGTATAGCAGGTCACCTCTACCTTATGTAACATACCGTACAGAGATAGCTCTAAGGATGATGCGTGTGATAGAAGCCAGTGTTATAAGAAAATTCGATTGTATCTGTAGACCTCATAATACTATCAAGTATAGATTAGCCTAATCACTAACAGGCTGCTCTGGAACATGCCGTGTTGTTTGTACTAATTAATATAAAAGACTTGGAAATTCCCAACACTCTAATTACAACTTCAGCCGCGTGGCTTTTACCCATTCAATACTGACTGGTAGTAGCATCAATCTATTTCTTAGGTCGATATGGTACAAATCAAGTTGGCTTATAACTTGCGAACGACCAGTGATATCTAGAAATCTTTTGAATAAAACGGTCACAGATGCATGCGCAGATAATGTTTAGTTCATCGTTTAACACTACGTAGATGTAATTCATAAATAAACTGGCGTATGTCCACATCAATTCTTAACACTGCTTAAGCCTTGGTAAGAGGCGCTTCATAAACAATAAATTCCACCTCAATCCATCAAGCTCAACGAACAACAGAAGAAATGACCGGTATAGGTCTAGTGCTAAGTGTCTGGGTATGTATTAAAACCACAAATGTCAACCCTGTCTCGAACGCCTTGGTCCCTTTGAACCTTGCCCAGAGCGCGATGTCAGCCCAAACTCCACAACTTAATCCGCAAATCTGATCGCTAGGTCCCCTTATGCCGACACCTTTTTGGCTAGGTTTGTGCGCAGACTCTTAGTCGACTGTCCAAATATATACATTGAAATGCCGCATATAATGCTACCCCCGAAACTCCGGCAGTGAGATTCGGGTGGAACGTGAATTGCACCGGTTTAGATCCATACCTGCTCTATTTCGGCCGGTTCGGGTTTGAAGAAGGTCGCGAAGAGTCCTTGGACCTCAGCCAAGTAATCCTCGGGTCGGAAACTGCAAAGACCTCGGGCAAGAAGTTCCTGCTCCTCCTCGTCGATAACTTGCATCTTGTCCTTAACACCTAACTCCTCTGCGAGTTCCGACACCTGCGCCAGCTCGTTACCAAAAGGATGCTGGGCGTCGGAATAATCTCGGCGGAAAGTCGGGCGAGCCGGAGGTGGCGATGTGACTACGGGAGGCATAGGTGGCACCGTAGCTGAAGAGACAGATGGTTTGCGCGAGAAAGAACCGGACGAGACGGAAGTAGCTGTTGTCGAGGTTGATGACGAGCGAGAAAGCGAAAAGCTAGCTTTCGTGGAGACGGACTTGCCCGATTGGTTGGAAAGGCGCGCAAACTTGTTTGCTAAGTTATCGATTGATGCCTTCTTAGTATGTGATGGTGATCGCTTTGGAATAACTGGCGCCTCGTTGGTGTTCGAAGGCGTCTTGGGCTGGCCTGGAGCGACGAAATAGCACGAAAGATGATTGGGCTCTGGCGTGACAGATCGATCTGCTGTTGGGATGTCAGGGCTCGTCGGCGGCGATGATGAGCTACTACGAGGACTATCAGAAGAAGAAGAGTCGTCGGATTTGTTGGACTCAGTTGGTGAGACTTCTGATCGAGGATATAAATCCGGTGCGTTGTATGCGAGCATATTCGTTGTGTGGGTAAGGGCCATAGGACCAGATATCTTATTGCGAATTGCCGCAGAGTTATTCTTAGAGACAGTATTGCTCCGTTGCGGCAATATCCCCAGATCCTGCGAGGACTGCTTTCGCCTCGTCGTAAAGGCGCGCGCAAGAGACATGTTGGCTGACGGTTTCAAGAGCCTCTTAGTGATGAAAAAGAATCAAGGACCAATTGCTCTACCCTGGAAGACTTCCAGAATATGAGTCGAAACACAGGAGGAGGCTAGGTATAGCGTTGGATTTATGTTGTGCCACCTAGACGAAGGAATCCAGCTTGAAAGATACCCTTAACGTAAGCTGGTAGTCGGACCTGTAAAAGTCGCGCCCTATAAACTTTCTCCGGCCTGCGTTAATCCACTTCGAAGGTGAAATTTTCTTCACGGAAAGGCGATAGGGTATATGCGACACCTAAAGCCTAGAGTTGATATTGGTAAAAGTCGGGTAATGTGACAACCCTAAGTTGAGTGAAAAGGATATAGTGACAGGAAGTACACTACGATTTGTTTCCGGCCGGTGATGAATACCACTTCAGGGCGCGCTTAACGGACGCTTGTGCAGGAGACGATGTTACCCTAATTAGGCAGGTGGACAATGTGGTAGGGTCCTAGCGAAACAACCTGATGTGATCCTATGAGATCGCGGGGTCTTCCCTCTGAGACTAGGTGTATCGTTACGTTGAATGACCAACGAGTCTAGGTCTCCAAGATGACCAAATCGAGTAGCTGCGAATGTAAGGTTGCCGTTGCAGAATACTTAGCCGTTTAATTCACACAAGTGCAAGATGCACTAGTCGCGCGGGGAAGACACTGAGGCGTAGAGATTCCCGGAGTTCCTAGAGTTCCCAGTTGACGCCTCTTCGGAATCCCTAAATTCCTATATGAAAGCCGAGGTGAATATAGGGTCACCTAAATTTGCTGTAGCCACCACACAAAAGTGAAATGTGAGTGTAACAATCGTAGTCGAACCTGTCCAAGGTTTATCAAAGTATGATATCAAACTCTCACGAGTTCCCTTATATTGGTAGCATGTGGATCTCTTGTCTTGGTATTTGTGTATATTCACACAAGATCTATCGCCAACTCCGAAATAGCTGGCTGACAGTTTGAAAGGAGAGAGCGGGTTAGGTAGTTTTCAATGATGGTCCAACAACCTTTTAGGAGGGTTGGTCAAAAGATGGTTTGTATTTACTAGAACGAAACAGTGAAACAACCAGGTTCCTGATAAGATAGGATATAGACAATAGTGGTCGTAATATCTTGGAAGTGTAAAAGGAAGGACAATGTTTTCGAAGCCTCAAGAGACTTGTTAATTCGTGACCGGCGACGAGTCTTGGATGAGGATCCGTAGAGAAGAGGAATGAATGAATAGGAAGAATAATGCCAACAAGACGGGCAAGTGGTTAGAATGAGTGGAAAGTGAAGGAGTGCATGCACTTGGGATGAAAAGGAACCGCGACAATAATACTAATAAAGCGCACCCAGGGGGGGGATCGTGGTCCGGACTGGGGGAGAAGAGAAGGAAAAAAAAAGAAAGACATGGGGAAAAAGAAGCCCTAGACAGGCATCTTAAGTCTCCACCTACAGGGAGTCTGGGAACTTAGGGCGAAAGTATTAGTGAAGTTTCAAGTACTAAAAGAGTCTTTGTATTTCAATACAAATTCTTATAAACTTTGCTCATAACTAATGTATTAGTTACCAACTTACAATATGCTCGCATGTTCTTTCTTCTTATGCTTGTTAAGGCATTGACAACCCACATTGACTTAATATACATATGTACATGTAGTGCACTTACACGCACCAGCTTG